AGTGTGTGAAGTTTGGAGTGTGAAGTGCGAAGTGTGAAGTGCGAAGTGAGAAGTGTGGAGTGTGAAGTGTGGACTGTGAAGTACGAAGTGTGAAGTGTGGACTGTGAAGTGTGAAGTGTGAAGTGTGGACTGTGAAGTGTGAAGTGTGAAGTGTGGACTGTGAAGTGTGAAGTGTGCAGTGTGAAGTGTGAAGCGTGAGGTTTGGAGTGTGAAGGAAGCAGTGAGAAGTGAGAAGTGTGGAGTGTGAAGTTTGAAGTTTGGAGTGCGAAGAGTGCAGTGTGCAGTGTGAGGTGTGGAGTGTCGAGGGAAGGACACGGTCGGGACAGGGTGTCTTTGAACTATAGGTCATTTATGTTTGGGAAACTTCCGCCGCCGGCTTGCCCGGGTCTATGTTATACATATATATATACATACATATGGCATTTATTGTGACATTCTATCTAACATTCTTTCTGGCATATAGTTTGACAGTCTATCTGACATTTTATTATCTGGCATCTATTCTGGCACACTTTCTGGCACATATTCTGACACTCATTCTGCCATCCTATCTGGCATCTATTCTGACATTCTATCTGGCATCTTTTCAGGCATTCATTCTGCCATTCTTTCTGGGATCTATTCTGACATTCTCTTTGACATTTTTCTGGCATTCTATGTGGCATTTATTCTGGCATTTTTTGCATTCTATTTGAAATTCCTCGCGGCTGGCTGAGGCCCGGCAATGTCCACTGAGATCTGGAACTCACGGTTGAGGTCCGGCAGTGCCCACTGAGATCTGGAGCTCGTGGTTGAGGTCGGGCAGTGCCCGCTGAAGAAGGAGAAGGAGAAACAACTCTGATAGAACCTAGAGACCCCCACCTGGCAGGTGGGGAATTTGAACTATAATTCAGAAGTAACAGTTGCAATGTGCGGCAGCAGGGGCGCTGGCTGCACTTAAAGCGATGATGAAGTAACAGTTGCAAGCCAAGGGCTAGAACGGAGTTGTTGACCATCACTGACACGTGCTTCCACTGGCTGGTATCTTAGTATCAGTACTGCTTAGATCTCCATGCCGTATTATTGGTAACATGACAGCAGGTTGCTTTAAGTCAGGAAGGAACATGTCCTTGACAACTGACAGGTTGGCAGCTGGGCTTCATTGGGCGGCAGTGAGGCTGCAGCAGACTTCTTGAAGTTGAAGCAACAGGCTGGAATGGCTTTGCTCAGCACCGAGACGACCCAGACCTGCACGGAAGCTGAAGAGCAAGAAGCGGACACCTGGAACGACATTGGCATTGGATTGGCACAAAGTGTGGAAAATCTGTAGAGACCCTTCAAACCACAATCTGTACATGTCAAAAGGAACTCTCAGAATTCCCTAACCCTCCAACAGAATGTCTATAGTGTCAAGTCTATGTTTAAGTCATTCTTGGATTCTCTGACAGGCCACTCGGACAGGGAAAATCAGCTAATGAGAACCCGATATGGTCACCGACAGAATTAATGTTGAGTCCTGATTAGTACCTAGGGTCGCTATTGTGGCAAATTTTTTCCAAATTATTCTGAAACTCATGTATTGTTTGGAGGGTTCGCTTTTGTGGCAAAACAAAATTGGGAGAGCCCTTTTTTTGCAAAAAAAACTGTAATTGCTGAGAGGCATTTTTTCTCAAAAACGCTGTAGCTCAGTCAATTTTTTGCTCATCTCCCTATCTGAGCCTGTAAATGCATCTCTATCTGAGTAGGTTTGTTTGCTGGGTTCACTATTGCCGCAAGCTGTGCCAGAGCAGCCCCTGAAGAAGGGAAGCAAGCCATTTCCAAAATTGCCAAATTCAAACTGCAAGCCTTTCCCAAAAGAACCAATCCCTTATTAAACCCTTATTAAAGAACAGCTTTCCCACAATTTTCCAAGGCCCTGGACCAGTAGAGGCCCCATGTCACTTTAGTAGGTTTGTTTGCTGGGTTCACTATTGCAGCAAGCTGTGCCAGAGCAGCCCCTGAAGAAGGGAAGCAAGCCATTTCCAAAATTGCCAAATTCAAACTGCAAGCCTTTCCCAAAAGAACCAATCCCTTATTAAACCCTTATTAAAGGACCAGGAGAGGCTCCATTTCACTTTAGTAGGTTTGTTTGCTGGGTTCACTATTGCAGCAAGCTGTGCCAGAGCAGCCCCTGGAAGCCCAGAAGGGAAGCAAGCCTTTTCCAAAGGCAATTGCCAAATTCAAACTCCAAGCCTTTCCCAAAAGAATCAATCCCTTATTAAACCCTTATTAAGGAACAGCTTTTCCACAATTTTCCAAGGCCCTGGACCAGGAGAGGCTCCATTTCACTTTAGTAGGTTTGTTTGCTGGGTTCACTATTGCAGCAAGCTGTGCCAGAGCAGCCCCTGAAGAAGGGAAGCAAGCCATTTCCAAAATTGCCAAGTTCAAACTGCAAGCCTTTCCCAAAAGAACCAATCCCTTATTAAACCCTTATTAAAGAACAGCTTTCCCACAATTTTCCAAGGCCCTGGACCAGTAGAGGCCCCATTTCACTTTAGTAGGTTTGTTTGCTGGGCTCACTATTGCAGCAAACTGTGCCAGAGCAGCCCCTGCAGAAGGGAAGCAAGCCATTTCCAAAATTGCCAAATTCAAACTGCAAGCCTTTCCCAAAAGAACCAATCCCTTATTAAACCCTTATTAAAGAACAGCTTTTCCACAATTTTCCAAGGCCCTGGACCAGGAGAGGCCCCATTTCACTTTAGTAGGTTTGTTTGCTGGGTTCACTATTGCAGCAAGCTGTGCCAGAGCAGCCCCTGGAAGCCCAGAAGGGAAGCAAGTCATTTCCAAAATTGCCAAATTCAAACTCCAAGCCTTTCCCAAGAGAACCAATCCCTTATTAAACCCTTATTAAAGAACAGCTTTTCCGCAATTTTCCAAGGCCCTGGACCAGGAGAGGCTCCATTTCACTTTAGTAGGTTTGTTTGCTGGGTTCACTATTGCAGCAAACTGGGCATGAGCTGGTTCAGTGTCTCTTGAGATTTAGCTGAGTACTACAGTACTACAAGTACTACAAGTACTACAAGCACTACAAGTACTACAAGTACTACATGTACTACAAGTACTACATGTACTACAAGTACTACATGTACTACAAGTACTACAAGTACTACATGTACTGCAAGTACTACAAGTACTACAAGTACTACAAGTACTACAAGTACTACAAGTATTACAAGTACTACATGTACTACAAGTACTACAAGTACTACAAATACCACAACTTCATCGGCAAAAAAAACAATAGTAATTAGATTTCAATTGTAGCCAATTGAAATCCTTACTTAATTGAGGATATGTTTTTCTTTTGGGAAGAAAATTTTTGACTTTCTACTTTAAAGAGAGTCCAGAAATAGTTTGGGGGGGGGGGCCACACACTAATCAGGACGCAACATTATGGAAAAAAAAACGTTCAACTTAGACAGGCGGCGCCTGCGTCCGATTTTTCCATAATTAGGTTTTTCCCCATAAGGGTTCAAAATATCCCGGAAGTGATCCGAACCTTTTTTTTCCATAATTCTTGGAGGTGGCCATTATTTCCATACTTGTTTTTTCCTGTAAAATCAGGGGGCTAGGGCAGATTGACCGGTTTTTCCATAATTATTTTTTTCCATAATTATTTTTTCCATAATTATTTTTTCATAATTAATGTTTGGGGCTCCACCTGTTGGACATGTCATGGATCCACAATTCAAACCCCTTTTTTTGGGGGGTTATGGAAATATGTATGCAAATGCAAGTATGTAGTATCAACCCAATTGGTGGCTTGGCAAAAGGATCCATCCCGCATATGTATGTACGTACAACAATGAGTTTTGGTGGTGCAATTGTTTTTCCTTTGTTGGTACCACTATGGAAGACTTAGGGGCATATACCAGATCTTTAGACACATATTTTCTATAATTCAATATTCCCCCTTAAAATGCATTCAAATTGCGAATCGATGGACATACAGTCACCGACAGAATTATGGAAAAACAATAATTATGGAAAAAATAATTATGGAAAAAAAAAGGTTCGTAACTTTTCTATCATAGACAGGCGGCGCCTGTAAATTGAAACGTTTTTTTTTTCCATAATTCTGTCGGTTCCTGTAATCACATCCTGTTGTGATCCCAAATGACCACTAGATCCAAGTCGTCCAAGGAGAAGATTTGTGCCAAACACCTCCCGAAAGATGACGATGACGCAGAAGTTTTCAGCGACTGCGTCTACGATGTCTGCCATGGAGGTGGAGAAGAAAATGCCCTGAGTGCCGCTGCATTCATCTCTGCCTAGGTCTGACCTCATGTCAGATGGGCCGTTTCAACTCTGTTTTGAATTCCATTTTGGAAACAGAGCTAGCTACGCCAGTCAGAGTTTTGATTTTGTTTTCAACGCTGCCCCGTGGGCTTATATATATATATATTATATCATGTTCCAGATTGATCAGATTGCGAGCACACGCCTCCAAAAGCGGAGTCGTCCGCCAGCTTCGTCACACCGTTGTTTGTGCAGGGTTGCTGACCATACTCGAAACACTTCTAGTATAATTAAAACATAGTAGAACCATGTAGAACCATCAGTTGAGAGGAGAGTTGAGCAGTGTCAAACCTCATGCCTTTTTCGTTTTTCTTTCGTCCTGTCCTTTCCGATGTTGTTCGCTATTGTCCATGAACCGGGTATGTGGGCGTCACCACTCTGGATTCCTCCTGTGTCCGAGATCTTGCCTCAAGTGATCTGTGGGTTTCCGGTTTCCAGACTTTGGCCACTCAAGGACGGCACTCATAGCAAACGAGCATTGGCAATCGACCAAGCCTGCTACCTTCAACAGGCGATCCGTCCCAGTGATATGTGATACAGGAAGATACGGTATACAAGCATCAGGCGTTGAACTAGACCCAAGTTCACCTTGACTTGCCTTGCTTCAGTGCTTATGTTCAAGAATCTGTCTCAGTTGGCGGCACTAAACTTTTCTGCAAGTTACTCGTTGAATCAGATGCCCTCCGACATATGACGGGTCGTAAGCAGCCCACCACGATCCGTTTTGATTGCAGAGACCGGATTTCTTGCACCTTTCATGTATCCGGCCCTGCTTACGAACCTTGGCTGTGGACCCCAACTCAGGTCACATCTGAAAGGGTTCTGGATTCGGGAACAGCTGTTCCTTGAAATTCCTTCCCTACATTTGTTTAGCTTAGACAACCAATGCGAATTCATTCATTCCGGTTCTCAATTCTTTCTTAAGAGGTGTCCGGGTTTCTGCACGTGGTGGTGTCCGGCTCTCCGGATGTCTCAACATTCATTTGTCTCCCAGTCTGACTGGCTGGTGGTGCCCGGCTGTTTGTCTTCACTTGTCTCCCTACATTTGTTTCCCAATCTGGCTCATGGTGTCCGGCTCTCCGGATGTCTCTCTTTACTCTTTTCCCTTTAATTAATTATTTTTCTCCCGGAATGCCTAGTGCTGCCCCGGTCTTCGGATGTCTCTCTCTCCTTGTCTCCCGTCATTTAACTCCCTCTCTGGCTAGTGTTGTCCAGGTCTCCGGATGTTTCTCTTCACTTGTCTCCCTTCATTTGTCTCCCGCTCTGTCTAGTGGTATCCGGCTCTTCGGATGTCTTTTCTTTGCTTTCACTTCTCTCTCATCAGGTGTCTCTTTCCATGTGTCTCCCAACTTGTTTGTCTCCCAATTAATTTGTCTCCAATCACGGGTCTGCCTTTGTGGTGTCTGGCTTTATCGCCTTGTCATTTGTCTCTCACCATCTGTCTCCTTCATTTGTCTCGGATCATATGCCTTAGTGGCAGTGTCCTGTTCTAGTTTCATGATGATTTCATTCGTGCTTCGGGTTTGTCTCTGTTCTTTACTCCCTTGTGTCTTCTTGTTGCCTCAAGAAAAAATCATGTTTCACCATATTTTTCTTTGCGTTTTACCACTGGTCTCCCACTTGTCTCCTACCTTGTCTCCCGTTCATTGTCTCAGATACAAATGGCGTGGCAACAAATCGAAACCATGTGGCATCAGAAAATGTTGCCTGTGATTCATGCTGTTCTCAAATGACATGGATCAACAATGATCAACAATTGCCAGCACCAGGAGCTAGTATAACCATGTATAACCATAAACATCCCGGCGGAAGGGAAACCGCGCGAGCGTTTTGATTGGTTGTTTCCAGGAGAGTCGCAATCACCTGTAATTTACAATATAAAATGCTCTTCCGATCAGTTTGGATAACTGAATTTGGGTTTAAAAAAGTGGATGCAAAATCTATTGATTTTTAACAAATCCAGGTAAACATCATGTGCATCAGACGTGGATGCGCAGATTTTTTTCACACTCTTCGTCGGCTCAGCGATCCATCAGTGTGGAAGCTGTCTTCGACAGCAAGTTGCCATTATGGCACTCATAACGCCACTGCCAGCAACGCAGGTATAGCATGACATCTTTGTTCTGCCCTGCCTTTGTCTGCAAATTGCTAGGCACAATTTTTTTAGCCAAATTCCACAGAGATCTCAGCAGCGTAGCAACATGTAACGTAGTAAACAATCCCAAGATCTTAGCAGCGTAGCAACATGTACGTAGTAAACGATCCCAGAGATCTCAGCAGCGTAGCAACATGTCACGTAGTAAACGATCCCAAGGATCTGAGCAGCGTAGCAACATGTAACGTAGTAAAAGATCCCAGAGATCTCAGCAGCGTAGCAACATGTCACGTAGTAAACGATCCCAAGGATCTCAGCAGCGTAGCAACCTGTAACGTAGTAAAAGATCCCAGAGATCTCAGCAGCGTAGCAACCTGTAACGTAGTAAGAAAGTCCCAAGGATCTCAGCAGCGTAGCAACATGTAACGTAGGAAACTATCTCAGAGATACCAGCAGCGTAGCAACATGTAACGTAGGAAACTATCTCAGAGATACCAGCAGCGTAGCAACATGTAACGTAGGAAACTATCTCAGAGATACCAGCAGCGTAGCAACATGTAACGTAGTAAAGGATCCCAGAGATCTTAGCAACATCGCAATATATCCTGTACGAAGTACGAGGAACGTTAACATGCCCCCCCACCCCACCCCACCCCAACCCCAACCCACACTAACACGGCAATATATCCTGTACGAAGTACGAGGAACGTTAACATGCCCCCCCACCCCACCCCACCCCAACCCCAAGACAAAGAGCAATACTCAAAAAGAAGCAAAACGCACGTACGGTTTTCCTGCCGTAGGCATAAACATGCACACAGATCACACAGACGCTGCGAATCGCTGCAATGGGTTTTTTAGGGGGAAATCGTTGGTTGTGGAAGGACAAAGCCATGGTTCGGGGGCATCCTTTGGTCGTGGGACACCCACTGAACATGGCTGCTTTCAGTGGGAAACGCCAATGGCATAGCAACATCTTTTGGAAATACCCACATTCGCAGAGCGGGATATCATTCTGTTTTCGTTGACTTGGCTGATGGAAGCTGTTTTGCCTCAAGGAAAACTGGCCAATAGGAGGTAGCAGACGTTCTCGTCGTATTCTTCAATGGCAACCATAATGGCAGCTCTTGCAATGATCATGATGATGCTGCAGATGCATCTAGTGTCCTCTCAGGACCCCAGTTTTTCCGTGGTCCAAGCAAAACAACGGACAATGATTGCATGAAGTCAAACTCTCAGGATATCATGAAGTCGCTAGGACCGTAGAAAGCATGTTTTTATGGGGCAACTGAAACACCCGAAACACCTAAAACACAATCCTTCAGTGACGAAAGAGATTCTTTGTTCATCCTGACCCAAGAAATTTCGGATGATTTGTCACGAAAAGGGGGGACCCTTGAAATCCACTAATTTTTAGCTTTGGACCCAAGTTTGTGAACCTATGGTAAGAAGCCATCAGAGCCTACTTGGGAAATCAACCACTGATTTTGGGGCCCTGGGGCCGAAAAGGCTTCAAGTTGAGCTTTGCAACGGGTAGCTGTGTAGTTGCTCCAGGACACACCAGACACTTCCATGGATGGCTCGGGCAGTTGCTCAGATGCTGAGGAAATCTCAGCCCTTCAGCTTTCCTCTCAGCAAGCAATGTGCGAATGGCGACTCGGGACTCTAGGTCTGGCTGGGCTTGGGTGTACTTGCTGTACCATGCGAATTTTCCAAATACCCGGCTGTGTTGACCCTGAACTACAGATGGTCCATTCCAGCATTCATGGCTTCGGTTTGTGCTTGCCAAGTTCTGTAATCATCCAGACGCATTTGGCAAAACATGCATTTTCCAGCGATTTTTTTCATCGACCGTTGAAATATGTTGAAATCTGTTGAAATCTGTAACGTGGTGTAACGTGATGTAACGTGGTGATTGCCAGGTCAGAGCTGCACAAGCACTTGCCTTCCTGATAGTAAAATCTGTGATCCTGCACAGCAGAAAGCTCTCCGGGGAGTTGACGGAGTGGACCTCAACACGCGAGTGACTGCGCTACAAGGAGGAACAGAGTGCACCAACTACGACCCACCTACTAAGGTCATCAATGAAACAACCAACCACTGGGCCCCATACGTGTCCAACATCAACGGCCAGTGTCGCATGGCCGCGAGCGGAGCGAACTCAGCATGCGGGCAGAACGGCAACAATGTGAAGCGGGTCTGTTGCTGCGTCGACCCACCAGCACAGGTGGACAACGATCCCCACGTCCATACGCTGAAAGGCGCGCACTACACGCTCTTGAGGAGTGGCAACTTCTTGGCATGGAGTTTCTCCAAGGATCCAGTGGATTGGCACCTGTTGGCCGCTTACTCCGGTGCTAGACTCTTGGCTGTCTTGGCCCGGCTATCTACGTGAGTCAGTCCAAAAAAGTCGAAAAATGTGCAAAACCGGCAGTTCGAAACAAATGCGCACGCACCGACACACACACACACATCTTGTTGAAATGCATCCAGGTAAAGTATTTGTAGGAGTACTTGTGCGGGTGCATATGGTTTATTTTGGTGTTAGTTTTCTTGCTTCAGTTGATGCAGATCCTAGGATCGCGGTTCACCACTCAGTCGCTTTTGCTTCTGGAAAAGCAGAGTGGACAGACTTTGGAGATGACGGCAGAAGACTGTCTGTGGCAGACGAAAACGGAGAATGGATGGCGCAAAGTGCAGCCCGAGTTGCTGCTCCAGGGTGCTGCGAGCGTGGATGCTTGGCAAAAACAGCAAAAACATGCAAACACAATGTTTCACACATGCAGACATGGGAACCCTAACATGTTGTTTTGACACCTAAAAGTACTTGTTTAAATTTTCTTTTAAGTCTCTTTTTGTAGGGGCTCGGACATGTTTGGACATGTCCAACGGAAAAAAACAAGCAACATTGGACACACAACATGTATCATTCCTGTCGCGGGCACATCACCGTCACATCATCGTCTCCTTGCCCAGGACGTCCAGGAAGTTGATAAACACACCCGCGATCCTCTGAATTTGGAGTCGGTGATGGTTTTGCAGATGTCGGAGCCAGAGAAATCAGGCGTGCGGAAGGTGGCTAGGCTTCTGATCCACTGCAGCCCCAGTAAGTATTTGAACTTCAAGGTGAAGATGTTTGATACGAAGGATTTGGACTATGTGGGAGGAGAGCTGGGAAGTGCACCACGCAACCAGAGCCACTTGAGCCTCTTGTCGGCCAAACTCAGCTCCATGGTGATGCAGACGGATACTGAGTTCCAGGCAAAGCTGATGAAAAAAACCTTCGACTCCAAATCTCGGCTTCAACCGCTTCAACCAGTTTAATCATGTTGCCGGTGTTGCCGGTGTTGCCGGATAATGGGACCTTTCATGGACGTTCCCACATTGGAAACAATCAGATGTTTTTTGGTGTCAGAGACCAGGGAAACCACGAGGGAAACCCACGGAGTTGCACTGATGGAAACAATTCGAAACAACTCAAGTTCCAAGACGCCAACGGGGTTATACTGCCGGATTTGCTTCGTGATCGGGGGCATAGAATGGGCGGCATTTAGCAGCAATGTGCTTTGTAGTGCTAGAATCATGGTTTGGAAAGCTTGAACAAGAACGCAAGAAATACTTTCCTACGACACAAATCAGATAGATCAACCAATCTGAGCTAATTCATAAATTTGGAAATAGGAACAGCGATCAAAAACAGAAGTGAACAGCAACAGTTGTAAGTCGAGGGCTGGAACGGAGTTTTTGGTATGCTCACTGACATGTTCTTCCTGGTTGGTATCAGTGTTTTCTGCTTGGGACTTCATGACGTACTACTGTTGTTGCTTTGAACTGCAAGCCGTGCAGACATATGTCAGGAGCATGTCCTTGACCACAACTGACAGGTTGGCAGCTGGGCTTCATTGGGTGGCAGTGAGGCTGCAGCAGACTTCTTGGAGTTGAAGCAACAGGCTGGAATGGCTTTGCTCGGCACCGAGACGACCCAGACCTGCACGGAAGCTGAAGAGCAAGAAGCGGACACGTGGAACGACATTGGCATTGGATTGGCACAAAGTGTGGAAAATCTGTAGAGACCCTTCAAACCACAATCTGTACATGTCAAAAGGAACTCTCAGAATTCCCTAACCCTCCAACAGAATGTCTATAGTGTCAAGTCTATGTTCAAGTCATTTTTGGATTCTCTGACAGGCCAGCCGCACAGGGAAAGTCAGCGAATGAGAACCCGATAATCACATCTTGTTGTGATCTCCAGTGACCCACTGGATTCAAGTCGTCCAAGGAGAAGATTTGTGCCAAACACCTCCCGAAAGATGACGATCACGCAGAAGTTTTCATCGACTGCGTCTACGATGTCTGCCATGGAGGTGGAGAAGAAGATGCCCTGAGTGCCGCTGCATTCATCTCTGCCTAGGTCTGACCTCATGTCAGATGGGCGTTTCAACTCTGTTTTGAATTCCGTTTTGAAAACAGAGCTAGCTAGGCCAGTTTGAGTTTTGACGTTGTTTTCAACGCTGCCCCGTGGGCTTATATATATATTATATCATGTTCCAGATTGATCAGATTGCGAGCACACGCCTCCAAAAGCGGAGTCGTCCGCCAGCTTCGTCACACCGTTGTTTGTGCAGGGTTGCTGACCATACTCGAAACACTTCTAGTATAATTAAAACATAGTAGAACCATGTAGAACCATCAGTTGAGAGGAGAGTTCAGCAGTGTCAAACCTCATGCCTCTTTCGTTTGGTCCCGAATGCGTAGCAAGGGTTCCCGTTTCACTCTGGGGGCAAACGTCGCGTAGCCTCGTTTCATGTGGCAGGCGTGGCACAACATGACATCCCAACATGTTTCATAACGTCTCGAAACTTGTTCTGTGTGACAGGTGCAATACTTTTGCATCGTTTTTGGAAGATGAGGATTTTTCGTGGCAGGCGCAGCCCTTTGGAGACCTCCATCACCATTTTGTGTGGCAATCGCAGCGCTTTGGACGTGTTGTGTTGCGTGTTTTGCGCGAATCGCATTGTCAGGGTTGTGTCAAGTGGTGGCAACGCGCAAATTCCGTGGCAGGGGTGGTGCTTCATGAGATGTGTTGATAACTGACGGAAGCCTTGCACGAAACATTGATTTTGTATGATTTTGCCGTCGATTTTTGAGGTTCATGCATAAAAAAAAATCTCGTAGGAAAACGTCGATTTTCGAGCTACAAAGTGTGAAAATTTGCGGAAGTCTCGTACGAAATGCTCGTTTTGAGCTTCTACATGTCTCGTCTCGATTCTCTGGTTCTGTTCTGACGTCGCCGTGCCTCTGAGGGAAGCTGCAAGACCTCTAATTTTTACCGTGTCAAAAGAGGTCGCCATGTCGTTTTGCGTGGCAGGCGCAGCACCTTAGACGTGTGGTGTTGCGCGTTTTTGCAAATCCCGATGTCAGGGCTGCGTCAAGTGGTTACAAAGCGCAAATCGTGTGGCAGGCGCGAGACATCGTGACAGTGTCATTTTACGTGGCAGGGGCAGTATTTGGTGCAGATCCGTTGTGTGTGGAATGTGATTTTGCGTGGCAGTCGTAGTATTATTTGGAAGGCTCTACAGTTTACACTTGACACTCCGCACTCCGCACTCTACACTTTACACTCCCCACTCTAAACTTACACTATACACTTCTAAGTGTAGACACTCTACACTCTACACTTCACGCTTCACAGTCCACACTTTATACTTTACACTTTACACTCCACACTCTGCACTTTAAATTTCCCGCTTTACATTTGACTCTCCACACTCCACACTCTACACTTTACACTGTACACTCCGCACTTCGCACTGTACACTCTACGCTCCACACTTCACACTCCACACTTTACACTTTACTTTCCACACTCTACACTTTACACTCTACACTTCGCACTTGACTCTTGACACTCTACGCTCTACACTTTACACTCCACACTCTACACTTTACACTCCACACTTAACATTCCACCCTCCGCACTCTACACACTACGCTTTACACTTTACACTTCGCTCATTTCACTTTACAGCCTGCGCTTTGCACTCTACACTTTCCACTTCACACTCTACACTTTAGACTTCACTTTACACTCCACACTTCACTCTGTACACTTTACGCTCAACACTCTACACTTCACACTCCACACTTTACAGTTCACACTTCGCACTTCACACTTGACACTATACAATCCACACTTCACACTGTACACTTTTTTCTCCACACTTTACATGTTGTGAAAGCATTCACTTGGCACTCATGTGGACATTTCACCCTATTTCCATTGGCTTTTGGGCCCAATTCCCAATCGCCGCTGTGAACAGCGCTTTAGCCATACGCTACGCCCCCGAGAGCGAAAACTAGCAGACTTCGTTGCACTAGCACTGCCTCGTTGATTTGCGGTTTCAGTTCAACAGTGGCACCGGAGCTTGATTCTTGCAGGGCCTTTGGATTTTGCTGCTTGTGCCTGAGCCTGACTTTTTAGCGCTTCCTTGGTTTCAACGTAGGTGGATTTTCCTTGTGATCCTTTCCACTTACTTTTGACTCCAAGACCACAAAGTAACCCAACTGGTTTGTTTTGGAACTTGCAACGTTCTGGATTTGCTGGCGCTGGGTGAAATAGCACTTTTCACTTTGGGTCGAACATCGGCCTTTGCATGCGATTGAGTTTGGCGTGGACCTCATCTCCTTTAAGGGCTGAGGTATGGCTGACAGTGGACACACTGGTGGTGATAAATCTGGGGCATGGTATCAAGTGCCAACATGGGATGGATCTCCCTTGACTTGGCGTGAGTTCAAGCGAGAGATGCGGTGGTGGACTCAGTCTTTAGACCTTTCTGCCACCACCAAATACAATTTAGCTGCTCGATGGCTTTTGAGACAGTCTGGAATATAGTACGTCAGCGTGGAGAAGAATTTGATCCCGATGATTTGCTTTATAAACCTGCTGTCATGATCCCTGACCCTGACAATCCTGGAGAAGAGCTGGAGTTGGAACCTCCCAACTATTTGGCTGGAATTGAGAAGCTTCTGCAGGCCTTGGAGAAGATCAATGGTCAGACGACCTTGGACAAGCGGGGGGAGCTTCGACAACAATTCTACCAAGATTTGCGTAGGAAACCTGGTGAAAGACTTTCTGAGTTCTGTACACGTTTTAGGACGTTGGTGGCTGACCTTCGCAGTGAAGGAGTTAACCTTCCCAATGAAGAGCTTGGATGGTTCTTACGCGATAAGTTGGGGCTGGACCCTCTTCGCAAGCAGATGCTCGATACAGCATTGTCTGGAAGGGAAACATATGAGGTCATCGAGGCCGAGGTGTTGCGTTTGTTCAAGGATATCCATTTAGCAGATCCTCTTTTCAGGCGTGCTGAGAGTGGCAACAGACCTAAGCTGACAATGCGTAGGATGTTTCAGCGCAAGTTCTTTTGCACCCTCAACTGCTGCTCCTAGTCGAGCCTCTACAAGCTCGACTGCCTCAGGTTTTAGGAGACTTGCCTTGTCAAGTAGCAGCGGCAGCACTCGCCGTGCCTATGTGACTGAGGTTGAGCCTGAGCTTGAACAACCTGAAGACGAAGTCATGGAAGCAGTTGCTGGTGTGGAAGATGAGCCGGATCATGAGTCACAGCCTTTGGAGGAATATTTGCAATCTGAAGCGGAAGTTTTTGCCGCTGAACTTGGTTCTGCGGAAGAGCAAGGAGTTGATCCTCAGGCCATTGAGGAGTTGGAAGCCAACTTTGAGCAAGCTGCCGAGGTGTTAGTTTCTATGAAAGAAGCCCGCAATCGTTTGAACGAAGTGCGGAAGGACAGACAGTTTGGAAAGCCTGCGCCTGGATCAACGAAGGGCAACCCGAACGTGCCTGCGGCCAAGAAGAGCTCTGGCCGCCATCCTTGTTTTGATTGCGGCAATCATGGCCATTGGGCTGGTGATCGTGAATGTCCAAAGCCTGGAGCCGGACTCGGCAAGAAGACTGCGGTGGCAAAAGGGAAACCGCAGCGCCAGGTTCGAATTGCTGAAGCTTTGCATGCAGATTGTGTACCTGATGTAATTTCACCTGGTGATCACTCAAGTAGCTTTTCAACTGGCAAATCTCCTCCAGCTGCACATGAACATGAAGCTGCAGTTTGATGACATTCCTTTGGACAAAGCTTTGTTCTTGAGCGGTTGTTCACGGGAGCATTCTACCCTTGCATCTTCTACGTCTGCTCCGGCGTTGTCGGATGACAAGCAGCTGGTGGGGGCTCTTGATTCAGCCTGCAACCGTACCTGTGCAGGTCCAAGCTGGTTGGATGGTCATGTGCGGAAACTTCAGCAAGTTGCTCCTCTTTGGGTTCTGGAACTGGTTGATTCAATTGATGAGCAAGAGAATTTTCGTTTTGGCAATGGTGGTTTGGTAACTTCTAGCAAAAGATGGCGTTTACCAACTTTGATCTGTGGTAGGATTGTCCTCATTTGGGTGAGCATTGTACCAGTTCTTAGTCTTGGATGTTTACTTGGACGTGACTTCCTGGATGCAGTCGGAGGAATCCTGAATTTTGCCTCCAAGACTTTGCAATGCAGTTTCTTGTCCACTGCCTCGCAAAGGTTGAATCAGATGAACGCTGGGCATTTCATGTTTCCTCTCATCGGCGAAGATTGGCCGAGGCAACGAGCTGGAAGATGGAGAACATGTGGATCAGATGGCATTGTTGAGTTGCAGATTGATCCTCAGAGTTGGTTGAATCGTCGTCTTTCAGAAAATTTCACAGCCATGGCAGGAGAGAGTCATGATCAATTGGTCACAGAGGGTTTGGTTGAAAGAGGTCGTACGCATGAGATTCTTCTTTTGGATCATTTGCCTGCGGCTCAAGCTATGACTGCAGCGACAGCTACAGCACCTTTTCCCCAACTTCCTCTACGACATCTTGCTGACCGCGATGGAGCCTCTGGAGAATGGCATCCTGACTCTGGGGCCAGCTGCTCAGAGGCAGCTCATGTCCGAATGCCGACTGGCGTTCGCAATTTACCGCTGGCGCCGATTCATCTTGCGACTTCAAGATCGCGCCCAGTGGCATGTTCACGGATTGCTGCTTTGGTTGGTCTCGCGATCCTATTTGCGGTTCTTGCCCTATCCATACCCTTCAATCACTTCTGTGGAGGCTTGGAAGGATCAGGCCAAGAACATGGTGAGCCAATTGACACTGAGCGCTCATGCCTTCAACATGGCCACCCAGACTGGGAGGTTCACTGCTCAGAACCTTTCGGAGCTGTGCCGCTTCAGGGATCGTGTGGGCTGGCGACATGCCTTCCTGGAGGACTCACTACTGACTGGCTTTCTGGTGGCTCGTGGAATGAAGGGTCATGCCAGGAAGATCCGAGATGCTGCATTGGAAGAAGCTCGCCAGGAAGTTGCTCAACGCGCCAATGTCAAGAAGCGGGACGAGTTTGTCCGACAGATGCTGAGCCCGAGGGGTGGATTGCCCTGCCTGAGAGCCGACTTGGTCAAGCTGGCACTGTTGCTCAACTTGGAAGTGTCAGCCTCCGACACGGTTCCCGTGCTGAAGGCCAAGATTCAACCTATGGTGGCAACCTTGAAGGGTCAGAAGCCTATGAACCCCGAGCCTTACCAGCCGCCTTCCAGAGCAAAAGCCAAGGCAGCCCCATCGGTGAGCCCAGAGTCCACGAGCTCTGCATGGTCAACTGTGACCGAACCTGGACCTCAACTTCACATGCAGCAACTGGGCGATCTGCTGGAAGCAAGAGTTCAGCAGGCCATGACGGTCCAGGACCAGAAAGTGGAGAGCATGATGGCCCAGGTGATGATGCACATCGAAGATCGCTTCAAGTACGTGCCTCAACAGGGCATGGCCGAAGTGTTGAACGGCACGATTCCGGAAGTGCCGATGGATCCATGAAACTTGATGGCAAGAAGATCAAGCCTGGTCAACGCCAAATGATCACCCAGGCATGGGAGAAGCACAGAAAAGATCAGATCGCTGTGTCTGCAGATAGGTTTGAGATCAATGAGGTTTGGCATGCAGAATGGGATGCGGAGATGAAGCGAAGCATGAATGAGACCTTCGTGACCACTCTCCAGTTTCCATCGCCATTTGTCACTGAGGTTTACACAGATACTGAGCCTGTTGCCAAAGCAGCTCGCCAACTTGGACTGCATGCTGGCGACAGTTTGACTTTGAAGAGTGGCTGGGATTTTCGACGTGAAGATCACCGTCGCGCTGCCCTGCGACTTGTCAAGAAGCTCAAACCTTACTGCACAGCTTTGGCTTTTCCATGCGGACCATGGTCTCCATTGATGCAGCTCAATCCAGCGGCTGACCTTGAACGTCTTCGCAGTGAAGGCGAAATCCTGATCAACTTTGCCGTAGAGATTGCGGAAGAGCAGATGAAGCATGGCAGACATTTTGTGATGGAAAATCCACGTCCATCAGCGGCATGGCGCCTGCCTCAGCTTGAGGTATTTGCGCACAGAGACGGCGTTTTGCCGGTGGACATTGACATGTGCCATTTTGGCCTCAAAGGACCTGGAGGTGGTTTGCACAAGAAATCATCTCGTTTGTTGACATCCTCTCAGGCCATGGTTTCACGTTTGATTGCCTGCCGATGCACAGGGGATCATTTGCATGAACATGTGATTGGTGGCTCGCGAATCTCGCAAAGCTGCAGGTCGCTACACTGATGAGTTCTCAAAGACCATCATTCTTTCCTTGATGGACCAGTTTGACTTTGAGACAACTCAAATGTATGACATGGTTGCGAAGTATGACCAGATGTCAAAGAATAACGATTTTGTAAAGAATGTCCAGACCTCTGTCGATGCGAACACGGCTGAGGTGAACATCAAAGAACATGAAGTGCTGGCTTTGGAGGAGGAATCAGATTCTTCACTTGAAATGTCAAAGGAGGAGGACAGTGTGCCAATTCCTGCGGAAATCAAGAATGCCGTTTTCAGACTTCATGTGAACACTGGACATAGATCAAGTCAGAGATTGGCCAGAGCACTTTTGGTTTCTGGCGCCCCGCCTGCTGCCGTGATAGCAGCCAAGCAGTTGCGTTGCTCAGTTTGTCAGGAGCGAAAACGCCCAAAGGCAAGGCCGCCAAGTTCCTTGCCGCCACCTCGAGATGTTGGTCAACAGATTCACATTGACTTGGTTATCCTGGAGGACTCTATGCGAAAGCCTTATGTGGTAGCCCATGTGACTGACAATGTCTCCAGGTATCAACAAGCCAAAGTTCTCCCTGACAAATCAACTGCGTCGGTGATTCACTTTTTGAAGACTCACTGGCAACCACTGCTTGGATGGCCTCACACAATTGTTGCAGACCAAGGTCGTGAGTTTGTTTCAGCCGAGTTTGGCGACTTCTGCGACAGCCAGAGCATCTACTTGTACCACATTGGCGTGGGTGCACCCTGGCAGAATGGCATCTGTGAACGAAGTGGGGCTACTTTGAAGGCCCTGGTTGGCGCTATCACCCAGACCATGGCAGTTAGCACCTTCAAAGAGATGGAAGCGGCCGTGGGTGAAGCAGTCATGGCCTACAACAGTGACTTGAATGAGCACGGAACTGCACCGATTCAGCTGGTGACAGGTAGAGTTCCTACCCCTGGTGGAGATGTGTTGAACAACTTTGCCAAGCGATTGGCTGAGCATTCTCTCATTTCCTCAAAGCCTTCTTTGGAAAGACAGCTGGCCATACGTGAGACAGCTCGAGTTGCTATGTTGAGATTGCACTACAGCAGGAGTTTGCGAAGAGCTGAGCTGGCCAGGTCTAGGTCTTCTACAGCCACAGATGCCCCTCTTCCTGGTGATTTGGTTTTCTTTTGGCGTGCACAGAAATACCAGTCCAAGAAGGAAGGTGGTGGATCTTCCAGGCGCCGACCCATTTTGAAGCGTTGGCATGGTCCTGGCTTGTTGGTTGCGAGCGAAGGCAAAGATGGTGAAGGACATGCTGCAAATTGTTTCATCTCGTTTCGAGGACAACTCACCAAGTGTCCCATGGAACATGTGAGGAAAGCTTCTTCACTTGAGAGCATTGCAGCAGGTTCTTGGGAGGCTGCGATTGAGGAGGTGATTCAGGCCACCATGCAAGACGGTCATGGTCTTGCTGCGGATGCTCCTGAGATGGCCGATGATGAGGCTGATGAAGAGACAGCCGCAGCTCCATTCACACCGGCGACCATTCCGGTGAACGCTGGTTTGATGCCCAGCGAGATTGTAACAGCTTCAACCTCCACCTATGCCTATGTCATTACAACCTTCACTTGTTTCTTTTCCTGTGACACCAGTTGGAAGTGCAGCACCTGGAACGCCTGTTCCTGATTTGATCAGAAATGCATCTCAAGCAGTTGGTGCCGCGCCTGCATCTCCTTTGCTGGAACGGACGCTTGAGCGAGCACGGGCTTATGACCAGGATCAGCAAGATTTGCGTGGCTTGAAACGCCAAGCAGAAGAAGAGCTCTCGCGCACAGATGAGTTTGCAACACAGCCAACACCATCCACTCCGGCTGCAACTTCTTCTCAACCTCAGGCTGCAGATCCTGGAGGCACCAATGTTCATGCACCATTTGAAGCCCTGCTGATGTCAAAGGAACAGTTAGAAAACCTTGCAAAAGACAGAACGTGCAGATGTTCATCCACTTTTGCAACTACAAGCGCAAGCTGACCTTGATAGGTGGGATCCTACCGCCCTCGATGAGGACGATCATGGCACATGGGATGGTCGTTGGTCTTTCATTTGTGAGCGAGACTGGAAGACACTCAAAGAGATGGGCAAACAACTTCCTTGCGGGTCCGACCCACATGATGCTTTCAAAGTGCAAGCTGCGCGAAAAGAGTATGTTTGGAGTCAGATGACACCATCCCAAAAGAAGCTTTGAGGTGATGCAGCAGTGGATGGATGGAATGCATACATTGATAATCAAGCAATCCGAGTCTTGTCCATGGAAGAGTCACGCAAAGTTTGGAGTGAACTCAAACGCAAGAACGAGACAGACAGAGTGCTCGTTCCCAGGTTTGTTTGCACTGACAAGCATGATGGGCTGCGCACAGCTAGCCACCCATTGCCAGTGAAAGCAAGCAGTCGCCTTGTGGTGCCAGGGTTCAAAGACAGGGCCAATTTGGAAGGCACTCTACGGCGTGACAGCCCCACTGGTTCCCGGTTGGCTCAACACTTTTTGTTTGCTGTGGCCGCTTTTCAAACGTCATGGGCTTTGATTTCAGCTGACGTGAAAAGTGCTTTCTTGAAAGGTGATCCTTTTGTGGACAGGGAACTCTACATCACCAACACAAATCCTCGAGTGTCCCCGCCTTTGCCTCTCCAGACCAGTCAGCTGTGTCGTGTGCTGAAAGGCATATTTGGCTTGGCAGATGCACCCAGACAATGGTGGCTCCGACTGTCGCGCTCGATGCAAGAGCATGGTTGGAAAGTGAGCCTTTTGGATGCAGCGATGTGGACCTTTTGGAAGAAGATTGATGGCAAAGACGTTTTGCAGGGCATCGTGGTTGGTCATGTAGATGACTTGGTCTTTCGTGGCTCGCCCTTGGCTGAGCAGTCCTTGATTGAGATTGGAAGGGAGTTAGGTTTTGGAAGTTTGGAACGAGAAGATTTCACATGGTGCGGCAAACGCATTAGACGTGCATCAGATGGAACGATCAGACTTTCAATGCACGAGTATCATGACAATTTGTCTGAAATTGTGCTCCCTCGCCATCGCAAGTCCGAGATGAACTCTCCACTGGACAAGCACGAACATCGACAGTTGCGTGCTGTGCTGGGAAGCTTGCAATGGTTAGTTGCTCAGCTGCGCTTCGACATGAGCTTTGCTGTGTCTACTCTTCAAGGAGAGCATCCACCGAATGTGGAGACAGTCTTGAAAGCGAACGCCTTGGTCAAGGAGTTCCAGCGCACAAGCACATTTGAGCTTATCTTTCGAGCGGTGGATTATCGCACCTCTGGGATATGCATGGTGTCTGACGCTGCGCTGGGGAATGTGAAACTCAATGGCGCGACCAATGGCACTCCTCAGGAGAAGGTTTATTCTCAAGCTTGTTATTTTGCTTTGCTTGCTGATGAAGCGTTGCTGAATGGCAAGGAAGGTGTCTTTACAATACTGGATGCGAGGTCTCACAGAATCCCTCGCGTTTGCAGATCCACCTACAGTGCAGAGACCCTTGCGGCAGAAGAAGCCATGGATGTTGGCCAGCTTTGCCGTGGTTGCCTTGCTCTGCTGAATGACCCAACCATTTCAGCACGTGATGCAGATGTAGCTTCCAATGCCATTAGGATGACAACGGTTGTTGATGCAAAAGATGTTCATGACAAAAGCAATAGTGACACATCAACATATGGAACTCAGAAAAGCTTGGCGTTTTGCATAGCTTGGATGAGAAGCGTTCTTCGCCGTCCAAATACTGCCCCCCGTTGGACTTCAACGGAAAACATGTGGGTTGATGGAGGCACGAAGCAGATGGACTTGAGTCACATGCGACGTATCATGCAAGCTGGTCGTTGGTCCATCTCATACAGTCCTGAGTTTGTGAAACAGGTGGTAAAAGCCCGCTCAGCTAAGCCTTCTACTGCTGCTTCAACATGCGTTGATGAGCTACCTGGAGTAATGCTGGATGGTAATGACCCTCTGCTGCCGCATTTGCAGGGACTTTGTGAGAAGCGTGGTTGGCACCACATCAACGGAGTTGGCGTGCAGGTTGCCCACAATGCTAAGTCCTTCAGAACGCCAGAACCTAGATTCAGTGTAGAGGAAAAGCCCTTTAGAAGCACGTGTGGTAGGTTCACGTTGTCAGATGGCAGTGGTTCAGTGGCGTCGGATTGAATTTGGTGCAGCTTATTCTCAACTTGCAAATCAACACGGTATGATAGGCCAAACTGTACCAACTTTAATCACGATGTTTCATAGCACAGACTCCACATTCGTGCCAACAAAAGAAGCAGAATGAATTTCAAAGCATTCACTTGGCACTCATGTGGACATTTCACCCTATTTCCATTGGCTTTTGGGCCCAATTCCCAATCGCCGCTGTGAACAGCGCTTTAGCCATACGCTACACCCCCGAGAGCGAAAACTAGCAGACTTCGTTGCACTAGCACTGCCTCGTTGATTTGCGGTTTCAGTTCAACACATGTTACACTCCACACTCTGCACTTTACACTCCACACTTTACCCCTCACACTTTATACTTGACACTATAACACTTGACACTCTACACTTTACACTTTTGATTTCACACTTCGCTCTTCACACTGTACACTTTACGCCCCACACTCTACACTTTACACTGTACACTTCACACTTTACACATGACACTCCACACTCTACACTTTACACTGTACACTTCACACTTTACACATGACACTCCACACTCCACACTTTACATTCTACACGTAGCGTCACATCGGACAATCATGCTCTGCCGAAGATACAAAAGGGGCGGCAACCACAGGTTGCAACATCTATGAAGTTTTCCTCTCTATGCGGTTTTTCGACACCTGTGGCAGTAACATAAGTGTGAGCATTCGGGTTCGTGGACTGCATCTTGTTCTTTCGTCGTGTTCTTTCCGATGTTGTCCGTTATTGTCCCATGAACCAATTTTGTGGCCCGAGCTCTTGCCTCAAGTGATCTGTGGGTTTCCAATGGTTTCCAGACTTTGGCAGAGGAATCGCAGATTTGGGAACACAACTCCTACAGTTCCACTAAATCTGTAGGGTGCAGTTCCGCTAATCAGTTGGTTATAGAACCATACTTGTAGGGGTTATATCTCAACTAATGGAGTTTATTACCACAGTATACCACAGTTATATCATTTATAACCCTAACTGCATCCCCAAGTAAAGGACGGCACTGGTAGCCTCATTGCCAAGTGTGAGGCCCTGTGAAACACCTGACACCTTAGACGCCTGGAAACTGCAAGGCGCTAGAAGAACAGTGAAATCGACCAAGTCATAATTACAACTGGGCTGATTGGGTTGCTTTGCACCAGCATTGAGTGGTTACTTCCCGAAGCACGGGCATTACGGGCACTACGGGCACTAAAACTCCTTGACTTGCACAGCGATGGCAGAAATCTTGGCATGGAAACCTAGAGGTGGGAGACATTTGGGAGATGAACACAGGACAGAATAATTAAATGGAGGGCTTGGTTTGTCTCATTGTCAAGTTGGACAGAAACACATCTACGGCCATTTTTCAATTTGGAAATATGTGGACATTGTGAACTGGCAACTTTCCTGGAATAAACACAAAATTTCAGACAGGTTTCCCTCTTTTCCCTTGTGGGACGACGTCAGAGAGCACAAAGTGCCAAACTTGTTGCTGCAGCACAGCTGGGTATGCGGTACCAAAACCATGTATCCAAGCCATCCACAGCAGGATGATTTTACATGGTTTAATACTGACAATTCCATTTTTGAACAATATCCAGATGATAGCATGGGACATCATGGGACATGAATTCAGAACCCATTTCGGTGTTTCGGTGTTGTCGCGGTGTTCCTGATGTCTTGTGAAGAACCGGTGTGGTTTTCGGGCTGTTGTCATCAACCATCATCAACCTCTGCAAAATCAGTGAATGTTTACACCCTAAATCTCCAGCTGTTGCTTCACCAGGGAAGCTATCCAAAACCCAGGCACCAGGCGCAAGATGGGAGATATGGACCTTGCTCCCGTTGTGCCCCCGGTTGTGCCCCCGTTGTGCTTTTCTTAAGTGCCCTTGGAGGCTGCTTCAAGTGCGGATGTGGCGTGATGAGGCTGGAAACATGATGAAATTCTTGTCGGACTGTCGGTGAAGTAGGTCTGTTGAGCACATGGGGAGATTCTCAGGGGATGGTGTGTCGCAGTCTGCGAAAATCGTCGTTGTTGGTGCCCAGCAGCTGACAGCCCAAAGCCCGCCAGAACTCGACCAATTTGTGCCGCTGCAAACATGGGTGGCAGGAGCACCAGAGAGATTCACCACCACCACGAGGACAAGGAATCCAAGGAAATGACCCGAAAAGCCAATGAGGAGATGGCTGCAATCCGCAGCCAAATGGCAGAGCAGGAGAGGAGGAATCAGCAGAATCTGGAACGACATCAAGAAGCTTTGCGCAGAGCTGAACAACTCCGTGCTGAAGAAAGAGACGCTTATGTGCAGCGTTTGCAGGCAGAACAAGAGGAAAGGAGAAGGGAGAACGAGAGAGCTCGTGAACAACTCGAACAACAAGAGCGTGAGGCTGAACAACGCTTGGTTGAGGAACTTCAGAGAGAGCGTTACAATGTACAAAAGGCCAAGGTTGAGAAGTGGCAAAGGTTGAAGCGAGACTATCCAATCCCCTCCTTCCTTCAGAAGTACGTCAACGAAGTGAGTGAGGATGCAGAGGCTGATGCTGCTCGAGACCGCTTTGTGAACGTGGCCATGCTTGGAGATTCGGGAACCGGAAAGAGTTCATTGATCAAAGACATCCTGAAACACTTTGGAGTCGACTTGCCTCCGGACCAGATGCCTAAAGTCTCCATGGAAGGTGATGGCACGCTTCTGCCCACACGATTTCCATTGGAGAAACTGGGTCAAGTCTCTGTGGGATCTCCCCGGCCAAGGAACTTCGAAGATTCCTTCCATGACATATCTCTGCAACATGGGCCTGAAATACTTCGATGCCGTCTGCATCGTCACGGATGGTCGTTGGTCTGAAGGGGATGACAACCTTCTGGCAGCCATCCACTATGCAGGCATTCGATGCTTCGTTGTCCGAAGCAAAGTGGATCTTGCCGTTGATGCTGGAGTGGAGGATAAGGGATGGAGCCTAGCTGAGACGCTGTCGCATGTGCATCAGCAGTTGCAACGGCAGACTCGGCTGAAACCACATCGCATCCATCTCTTGACATCCAGGGATCGCTTTTGGAAGGACTTCGGCTCTGTGGACAACTTCTGCAAACATCTCCAAGAGGAAGTGGAAGCGTCTCTGAAGGAAGAGGTTGCAGAGCAAATGTTCGAAGAGGCGCCGCAGGAAGATGTGAACATGGATGCAGTGGATGCAATGGATGACTGCATCATGACATGTGATGATAAGGTCGATAAGGTCGAGTGCCTTCGCCTTGACATTGACAATCAGTGCTTCAAATCAGTCGGCTTTTTGAAGCGGGCTAGGGTCTGCGGGCTTGAGGGTTTGAGGCCTTGATTCGGCTTGAGTTGAACCGCCACATGGGCAGTTGGTGGCTGGGTTCATGTTCAGGCTGCACTGCAAGTTGCTGCGATTTAGTGTGATTTAGTTCCGTTGCGAAGCTTCACCTATGCCAGAGCTGTTTTTTCTTTTGCAATTAAGGAGGTCATCATGTCAAATCATGTGATCATGACATGTCATCACGAATCATCCGCTGCTGGTGTCACGATGTTTTTTTGGCAGAGATGTTTCCTGTGAAGCAGGCCGCCCCTCTATGCTGTTCGCACCACTTTAGAGTAGCTGGAGGGGCGGTGAGTGTAACACGAAGTCCCTTTGCGGCAAAAAGACAGCTCGTTGTCGTCCGAATGCGAACGCAGAATAGGTCGTGGGTGGTTGGATAGTTGGTGAGATTGGATAGAAAACGGAATCAACGAGGATCAAAGAGGATCAAATTCCACACGGCCAGACAACCTTGCGAACCACCTTTCTGATGCCGGATTGAAGCTGAAGAGCGTTCACACTTTCAACCAGATCAAGTCAGTCTTTGAAGGGTTGAAGGGAGTTATTGACAGCCTTGTCAGCCTTGTTTTGCAGGTGGCTCTTTGGGAGCACAGCAGTTGGGAGCTTTGCACGCTTTTCAGTGACCATGTTGAGGATTTGCTGTCGGTGTCAATATCCGCGCCAGCGAAGGTCCCATTCAATTAGCATAATGAGCATTCTCGAACGACTTTGAAGAAGGTCCGTGCCTTTATGCTTTCATGATCTTTGTCATGTCCGCAGCAATTGTTTTAGAATTGGTGGAGGGTCAGAATCATTCACGGGTCAAAACAGTCAAAACTCATATTACTACCACTAGGCTTAAGTCGTATCAATCGACCTGAAGTCGTATCACACCTGCGTGCGCGCAGTGTTTCGTATAGATTTTGATAGTTCTTTATTTGATGGGTTATTGATTCGAACACTTTTTCATCGCTGTGCGCAATGTTTTGTTGACATGATTCTATTTGACCCTACTAGCCCTAGCGTTAAGTCGTATCAGCTCGTAGAAGTTGTATCGGGAGGCCGTGCGCCTGGAAAAAGTTCAAGTTTGGCATCACCACAACTTTTAGTAATTGGACGATTTCATTGTTTTGGGGCCGTGCGCCTAGAAAAAGTTCAATTTTTGTATTGCGTTGATTTATAAAACTTATGTTATATTTCATTATTCTTTCAACGGGGCAAACGCTGGTTGCTGCTTTCTGCTTGCTTGCTGCTTGCTTGCTCCTTGCTGCTGCTCCTTGCTGCTGCTGCTGTTGCTGCTGCCTCCTGCTACTGTTGCTGCTGCTTCCTCCTCCTCCTGCTGCTGCTGCTGCTTCCTCCTCCTCCTCCTGCTGCTGCTGCCGCTGGTGCAAACATTTTGCCGAAAAAGAAAATAACAGTCTCGGTCGCCTTGTTTGGCGCTGGCGGGAGATACGGGCGGGAGACGCCAGCAGAGAGAGGGAATGTTTACAGAAGGCAGAACTTATGAAACATTCAAGCGGAAGCGGATGTTGACAGCGGTGTGCCACTGGGTTTTCAGATTTTAACGTTGTTGATATGATGATGTTGCCCATAGCTATTACATGAAAATCTATGTTTGTTAGGAAACAAAGTTAAAGATCTGGGAGGCCGTGTGCCATGGTGATTCCTAAATATATCCTTTGAAAACATAGTTTAAACATATGTGAATACCTCAGTGTGCGCAATGTTTTCTTCATTTTTGGAGATATAACAACATTCCTTGAAAGCCGGTGTGCCATTGGGATTTTGATATTTTGATGTGACTTTTGCCCAGTTGATGTGACTTTCTTCCAACTCGCTGTTACATGGGGTTGATGTGACTTCTGCCCAACTGATGTGACTTAAACCCTTACCTAGTATGTTGCAACCCTTTGATTGGATCCCAACTTTTGATGTTCAAGGGCATGTGACGCTTGGGGTGCTTCTATCAGCAAACACGTTGCAGGTTTCCTTTGTCGATTCTGCCGGGGTCATTCAACCACGCGCCAGCCTGGGCATTTGAGGACCCTTAGTCGGGTGGTTCGGTTCTGCTTTGTTTGATTTTATTTGTCGTGTTGGGGCCTCTACAGTGCATTCCCCTTGCAGATAAAGTGCGAAACAGGAAGTGCAAACGTGCTCAGACAACCCATGAGCCCAAAAAAAAGTGTGCCCACAGGGGCAGCTAGATCATGAGAAACGATAAGGCAAGGGCGCTTCCAGTGGCTTCAAAACCCCACATCTTTTGTAAATTTCTTGCCCAAGCAGAGTTTTTCTGCGCTTGAAGGCTGACTTGTGTGATGTGGCAAGGCGTCATATTGGAAGCAGAGGCCTGACGCATGTTCCGGGTCAAAGTCGTGGCACTTTGAACTCATGATTTTGTGTCAGCGAAAGTTGGGTGCCCTTTGAGCAAACGAATCAGATGAGGATTTTTTTGGGAAGATCCGGATTCTTGGGAGGTTGGTGGCGGACTGAAGATTGTTCCTGTTTTTTTTGGTGCCCAGCAGCTGACAGCCCAAAGCCCGCCAGAACTCGACCAATTTGCGCCGCTGCAAACATGGGTAGCGGTGGCAGCAGAGAGATTCACCACCACCACGAGGACAAGGAATCCAAGGAAATGACCCGAAAAGCCAATGAGGAGATGGCTGCAATCCGCAGCCAAATGGCAGAGCAGGAGAGGAGGAATCAGCAGAATCTGGAACGACATCAAGAAGCTTTGCGCAGAGCTGAACAACTCCGTGCTGAAGAAAGAGACGCTTATGTGCAGCGTTTGCAGGCAGAACAAGAGGAAAGGAGAAGGGAGAGCGAGAGAGCTCGCGAACGGGCTGGGGCTTGAGGGTTTGAGGGTTTGAGGCCTTGATTGGGCTTGAGTTGAACCGCCACATGTGCAGTTGGTGGCTGGGTTCATGTTCAGGCTGCACTGCAAGTTGCTGCGCTTTAGTGTGATTTAGTTCCGTTGCGAAGCTTCACCTCTGCCAGAGCTGTCTTCTCGTCTTTTTTTGTAAGGAGGTCATCATGTCAAATCATGTGATCATGACATGTCCTCACGAATCATCCGCTGCTATTGTCACGATGTTTTTTTGGCAGAGATGTTTCCTGCAGAAGCAGGCCGCCCCTCTATGCTGTTCGCACCACTTTAGAGTAGCTGGAGGGGCGGTGAGTGTAACACGAAGTCCGTTTGCGGCAAAAAAACAGCTCGTTGCCGTCCGAGTGCGAACGCAGAATAGGTCCTGGGTGGTTGGATAGTTGGTGAGATTGGATAGAAAACGGAATCAACGAGGATCAAAGAGGATCAAATTCCACACGGCCAGACAACCTTGCGAACCACCTTTCTGATGCCGGATTGAAGCTGAAGAGCGTTCACACTTTCAACCAGATCAAGTCAGTCTTTGAAGGGTTGAAGGGAGTTATTGACAGCCTTGTCAGCCTTGTTTTGCAGGTGGCTCTTTGGGAGCACAGCAGTTGGGAGCTTTGCACGCTTTTCAGTGACCATGTTGAGGATTTGCTGTCGGTGTCAATATCCGCGCCAGCGAAGGTCCCATTCAATTAGCATAATGAGCATTCTCGAACGACTTTGAAGAAGGTCCGTGCCTTTATGCTTTCATGATCTTTGTCATGTCCGTAGCGTTTTAGAATTGGTGGAGGGTCAGAATCATTCACGGGTCAAAACAGTCAAAACTCATATGTTGCAACCCTTTGATTGGATCCCAACTTTTAATTTGATGTTCAAGGGCATGTGACGCTTTGGGTGCTTCTATCAGCAAACACGTTGCAGGTTTCCTTTGTCGATTCTGCCGGGGTCATTCAACCACGCGCCAGCCTGGGCATTTGAGGACCCTTAGTCGGGTGGTTCGGTTCTGCTTTGTTTGATTTTATTTGTCGTGTTGGGGCCTCTACAGTGCATTCCCCTTGCAGATAAAGTGCGAAACAGGAAGTGCAAACGTGCTCAGACAACCCATGAGCCCAAAAAAAAGTGTGCCCACAGGGGCAGCTAGATCATGAGAAACGATAAGGCAAGGGCGCTTCCAGTGGCTTCAAAACCCCACATCTTTTGTAAATTTCTTGCCCAAGCAGAGTTTTTCTGCGCTTGAAGGCTGACTTGTGTGATGTGGCAAGGCGTCATATTGGAAGCAGAGGCCTGACGCATGTTCCGGGTCAAAGTCGTGGCACTTTGAACTCATGATTTTGTGTCAGCGAAAGTTGGGTGCCCTTTGAGCAAACGAATCAGATGAGGATTTTTTTGGGAAGATCCGGATTCTTGGGAGGTTGGTGGCGGACTGAAGATTGTTCCTGTTTTTTTTGGTGCCCAGCAGCTGACAGCCCAAAGCCCGCCAGAACTCGACCAATTTGCGCCGCTGCAAACATGGGTAGCGGTGGCAGCAGAGAGATTCACCACCACCACGAGGACAAGGAATCCAAGGAAATGACCCGAAAAGCCAATGAGGAGATGGCTGCAATCCGCAGCCAAATGGCAGAGCAGGAGAGGAGGAATCAGCAGAATCTGGAACGACATCAAGAAGCTTTGCGCAGAGCTGAACAACTCCATGCTGAAGAAAGAGACGCTTTTATGCAGCGTTTGCAGGCAGAACAGGAGGAAAGGAGAAGGGAGAGCGAGAGAGCTCGTGAACAACTCGAACAACAAGAGCGTGAGGCTGAGCAACGCTTGGTTGAGGAACTTCAGAGAGAGCGCTACAATGTACAAAAGGCCAAGGTTGAGAAGTGGCAAAGGTTGAAGCGAGACTATCCAATCCCCTCCTTCCTTCGGAAGTACGTCAACGAAGTGAGTGAGGATGCAGAGGCTGATGCTGCTCGAGACCGCTTCGTGAACGTGGCCATGCTTGGAGATTCGGGAACCGGAAAGAGTTCATTGATCAAAGACATCCTGAAACACTTTGGAGTCGACTTGCCTCAGGACCAGATGCCTAAAGTCTCCATGGAAGGTGATGGCACGCTTCTGCCCACACGATTTCCCTTAGAGAAACTGGGCCAAGTCTCTCTGTGGGATCTCCCCGGCCAAGGAACTTCGAAGATTCCTTCCATGACATATCTCTGCAACATGGGCCTGAAATACTTCGATGCCGTCTACATCGTCACGGATGGTCGTTGGTCTGAAGGGGATGACAACCTTCTGGCTGCCATCCACTATGCAGGCATTCGATGCTTCGTTGTCCGAAGCAAAGTGGATCTTGCCGGTGATGCTGGAGTGGAGGATAAGGGATGGGGCCTAGCTGAGACGCTGTCGCATGTGCATCAGCAGTTGCAACGGCAGACTCGGCTGAAACCACATCGCATCCATCTCTTGACATCCAGGGATCGCTTTTGGAAGGACTTCGGCTCTGTGGACAACTTCTGCAAACATCTCCAAGAGGAAGTGGAAGCGTCTCTGAAGGAAGAGGTTGCAGAGCAAATGTTTGAAGAGGCGCCGCAGGAAGATGTGAACATGGATGCAGTGGATGCAATGGATGACTGCATCATGACATGTGATGATCAGGTCGATAAGGTCGAGTACCTTCGCCTTGACATTGACAATCAGTGCTTCAAATCAGTCGGCTTTGTGAAGCGGGCTGGGGCTTGAGGGCTTGAGGGTTTGAGGCTTTGATTCGGCTTGAGTTGAACCGCCACATGTGCAGTTGGTGGCTGGGTTCATGTTCAGGCTGCACTGCAAGTTGCAGCGCTTTAGTGTGATTTAGTTCCGTTGCGAAGCTTCACCTATGCCGCTTTTTTTGGTAATTAAGGAGGTCATCATGTCAAATCATGTGATCATGACATGTCATCACGAATCATCCGCTGCTATTGTCACGATGTTTTTTTGCAGAGATGTTTCCTGTGAAGCAGGCCGCCCCTCTATGCTGTTCGCACCACTTTAGAGTAGCTGGAGGGGCGGTGAGTGTAACACGAAGTCCGTTTGCGGCAAAAAGACAGCTCGTTGTCGTCCGAATGCGAATGCGGAATAGGTCCTGGGTGGTTGGATAGTTGGTGAGATTGGATAGAAAACGGAATCAACGAGGATCGAAGAGGATCAAATTCCACACGGCCAGACAACCTTGCGAACCACCTTTCTGATGTCGGATTGAAGCTGAAGAGCGTTCACACTTTCAACCAGATCAAGTCAGTCTTTGAAGGGTTGAAGGGAGTTGTTGACAGCCTTGTCAGCCTTGTTTTGCAGGTGGCTCTTTGGGAGCACAGCAGTTGGGAGCTTTGCACGCTTTTCAGTAGTGAGCATGTTAAGGATTTGTTGTCGGTGTCAAGATCCACGCCAGCGAAGGTCCCATTCAATGAGCATTCTCGAACTGCTTTGAAGAAGGTCCGTGCCTTTATGCTTTCATGATCTTTGTCATGTCCGTAGCGTTTTAGAATTGGTGGAGGGTCAGAATCATTCACTGGTCAAAACAGTCAAAACTCATATGTTGCAACCCTTTGATTGGATCCCAACTTTTGATGTTCAAGGGCATGTGACGCTTGGGGTGCTTCTATCAGCAAACACGTTGCAGGTTTCCTTTGTCGATTCTGCCGAGGTCATTCAACCACGCGCCAGCCTGGGCATTTGAGGACCCTTAGTCGGGTGGTTCGGTTCTGCTTTGTTTGATTCTATTTGTCGTGTTGGGGCCTCTACAGTGCATTCCCCTTGCAGATAAAGTGCGAAACAGGAACTGCAAACGTGCGTAGACAACCCATGAGCCCCAAAAAAAGTGTGACCACAGGGGCAGCTAGATCATGAGAAACGATAAGGCAAGGGCGCTTCCAGTGGCTTCAAAAGCCCACATCTTTTGTAAATTTCTTGCCCAAGCAGAGTTTTTCTGCGCTTGAAGGCTGACTTGTGTGATGTGGCAAGGCGTCATATTGGAAGCAGAGGCCTGACGCATGTTCCGGGTCAAAGTCGTGGCACTTTGAACTCATGATTTTTTGTCAGCGAAAGTTGGGTGCCCTTTGAGCAAATGAATCAGATGAGGATTTTTTTTGGGAAGATCCGGATTCTTGGGAGGTTGGTGGCGGACTGAAGATTGTTCCTGTTTTTTTTTGGTGCCCAGCAGCTGACAGCCCAAAGCCCGCCAGAACTCGACCAATTTGCGCCGCTGCAAACATGGGTAGCGGTGGCAGCAGAGAGATTCACCACTACCACGAGGACAAGGAATCCAAGGAAATGACCCGAAAAGCCAATGAGGAGATGGCTGCAATCCGCAGCCAAATGGCAGAGCAGGAGAGGAGGAATCAGCAGAATCTGGAACGACATCAAGAAGCTTTGCGCAGAGCTGAACAACTCCGTGCTGAAGAAAGAGACGCTTTTATGCAGCGTTTGCAGGCAGAACAAGAGGAAAGGAGAAGGGAGAGCGAGAGAGCTCGCGAACGGGCTGGGGCTTGAGGGTTTGAGGGTTTGAGGCCTTGATTCGGCTTGAGTTGAACCGCCACATGTGCAGTTGGTGGCTGGGTTCATGTTCAGGCTGCACTGCAAGTTGCAGCGCTTTAGTGTGATTTAGTTCCGTTGCGAAGCTTCACCTCTGCCAGAGCTGTCTTCTCCTCTTTTTTTGTAAGTTGGTCATCATGTCATCACGAATCATCCGCTGCTATTGTCACGATGTTTTTTTGGCAGAGATGTTTCCTGTGAAGCAGGCCACCCCTCTATGCTGTTCGCAGCACTTTAGAGTAGCTGGAGGGGCGGTGAGTGTAACACGAAGTCCGTTTGCGGCAAAAAAACAGCTCGTTGCCGTCCGAGTGCGAACGCAGAATAGGTCCTGGGTGGTTGGATAGTTGGTGAGATTGGATAGAAAACGGAATCAACGAGGATCAAAGAGGATCAAATTCCACGCGGCCAGACAACCTTGCGAACCACCTTTCTGATGCCGGATTGAAGCTGAAGAGCGTTCACACTTTCAACCAGATCAAGTCAGTCTTTGAAGGGTTGAAGGGAGTTATTGACAGCCTTGTCAGCCTTGTTTTGCAGGTGGCTCTTTGGGAGCACAGCAGTTGGGAGCTTTGCACGCTTTTCAGTGACCATGTTGAGGATTTGCTGTCGGTGTCAAGATCCACGCCAGCGAAGGTCCTATTCAATGAGCATTCTCGAACGACTTTTGAAGAAGGTCCGTGCCTTTATGCTTTCATGATCTTTGTCATGTCCGCAGCAATTGTTTTAGAATTGGTGGAGGGTCAGAATCATTCACTGGTCAAAACAGTCAAAACTCATATGTTGCAACCCTTTGATTGGATCCCAACTTTTGATGTTCAAGGGCATGTGACGCTTGGGGTGCTTCTATCAGCAAACACGTTGCAGGTTTCCTTTGTCGATTCTGCCGGGGTCATTCAACCACGCGCCAGCCTGGGCATTTGAGGACCCTTAGTCGGGTGGTTCGGTTCTGCTTTGTTTGATTTTATTTGTCGTGTTGGGGCCTTTACAGTGCATTCCCCTTGCAGATAAAGTGCGAAACAGGAACTGCAAACGTGCGTAGACAACCCATGAGCCCCAAAAAAAGTGTGACCACAGGGGCAGCTAGATCATGAGAAACGATAAGACAAGGGCGCTTCCAGTGGCTTCAAAAGCCCACATCTTTTGTAAATTTCTTGCCCAAGCAGAGTTTTTCTGCGCTTGAAGGCTGACTTGTGTGATGTGGCAAGGCGTCATATTGGAAGCAGAGGCCTGACGCATGTTCCGGGTCAAAGTCGTGGCACTTTGAACTCATGATTTTTTGTCAGCGAAAGTTGGGTGCCCTTTGAGCAAATGAATCAGCTGAGGATTTTTTTGGGAAGATCCGGATTCTTGGGAGGTTGGTGGCGGACTGAAGATTGTTCCTGTTTTTTTTGGTGCCCAGCAGCTGACAGCCCAAAGCCCGCCAGAACTCGACCAATTTGCGCCGCTGCAAACATGGGTAGCGGTGGCAGCAGAGAGATTCACCACTACCACGAGGACAAGGAATCCAAGGAAATGACCCGAAAAGCCAATGAGGAGATGGCTGCAATCCGCAACCAAATGGCAGAGCAGGAGAGGAGGAATCAGCAGAATCTGGAACGACATCAAGAAGCTTTGCGCAGAGCTGAACAACTCCATGCTGAAGAAAGAGACGCTTATGTGCAGCGTTTGCAGGCAGAACAAGAGGAAAGGAGAAGGGAGAACGAGAGAGCTCGTGAACAACTCGAACAACAAGAGCGTGAGGCTGAACAACGCTTGGCTGAGGAACTTCAGAGAGAACGTGACAACGTACAAAAGGCCAAGGTTGAGAAGTGGCAAAGGTTGAAGCGAGACTATCCAATCCCCTCCTTCCTTCAGAACTACGTCAACGAAGTGAGTGAGGATGCAGAGGCTGATGCTGCTCGAGACCGCTTCGTGAACGTGGCCATGCTTGGAGATTCGGGAACCGGAAAGAGTTCATTGATCAAAGTCATCCTGAAACACTTTGGAGTCGACTTGCCTCCGGACCAGATGCCTAAAGTCTCCATGGAAGGTGATGGCACGCTTCTGCCCACACGATTTCCATTGGAGAAACTGGGTCAAGTCTCTGTGGGATCTCCCCGGCCAAGGAACTTCGAAGATTCCTTCCATGACATATCTCTGCAACATGGGCCTGAAATACTTCGATGCTGTCTGCATCGTCACGGATGGTCGTTGGTCTGAAGGGGATGACAACCTTCTGGCAGCCATCCACTATGCAGGCATTCGATGCTTCGTTGTCCGAAGCAAAGTGGATCTTGCCGGTGATGCTGGAGTGGAGGATAAGGGATGGGGCCTAGCTGAGACGCTGTCGCATGTGCATCAGCAGTTGCAACGGCAGACTCGGCTGAAACCACATCGCATCCATCTCTTGACATCCAGGGATCGCTTTTGGAAGGACTTCGGCTCTGTGGACAACTTCTGCAAACATCTCCAAGAGGAAGTGGAAGCGTCTCTGAAGGAAGAGGTGGCGGAGCAAATGTTTGAAGAGGCGCCGCAGGAAGATGTGAACATGGATGCAATGGATGCAATGGATGCAATGGATGCAATGGATGCAACGGATGCAATGGATGACTGCATCATGACATGTGATGATAAGGTCGATAAGGTCGAGTGCCTTCGCCTTGACATTGACAATCAGTGCTTCAAATCAGTCGGCTTTGTGAAGCGGGCTGGGGCTTGAGGGCTTGAGGGTTTGAGGCCTTGATTCGGCTTGAGTTGAACCGCCACATGTGCAGTTGGTGGCTGGTTTCATGTTCAGGCTGCACTGCAAATTGCTGCGATTTGGTATGATTTAGTTCCATTGCGAAGCTTCACCTCTGCCAGAGCTGTCTTTTTTTGTAAGTTGGTCATCATGTCAAATCATGTGGTCATCACATGTCATCACGAATCATCCGCTGCCATTCTAATCAATTAATGTCATGATGTTCATTTCGCAGAGATGTTTCTTGTGAAGCAGGGCGCCCCTCTATGCTGTTCGCACCACTTTAGAGTAGCTGGAGGGGCCGTCAGTGCAACATCAAGTGCATTTGCGGCAAAAAGAAAAGCTTGTCGTCAGGGTTTGGATGCAGCATAGGCCCTGGTTCATTGGATAGTTGGTGAGGCTAGACATGCCTAGAACAAAGGAGCACTTTCAATCACTTGCCAACTGAATCACCAACTGGGCCTGCCTCTGAGATCTCTGAGTTGTTACGATTCTCGTCATCTTCCAGGTGGCCCTTTAGCACAGTTCGGAGCTTTGCGCACCGTTCAGTGTCCATGTTGAGGCTTTGCCTTCGGTGTGCAGATCCAATTTTGCTAGCGGCTAGCGAATGCTAGCGATTCGGTGATGTTGCCCGTGCGTCGGCCGCCGGCCACCTCCACGTCAGCTCAGGTTTCATTCAATGAGCATTTTCGGACCAGTTGAAGAAGGCCCGTGCCTACAATGTGCCTATATGCTTTCCTGATCCTTTTCATGTCTGTAGCAGCTAGCAATTGTTTTAGAGTTGGTGGAGAGTCAGAATCATTGACTACTCAAAATTCATATGTTGCAACCTTCTGATTGAATCCCAACTTTTGATGTTCGGCATGTCACGCTTTGGGTGCTTCTATCAACAAACGTTGTAGGTTTCCTTCATCGATTCTGGGGTGAATCAACAACTTGACTGCCAGGTTGTGATGCGCAGAAGCCACGACTGTGTCGTGGCCTTGTCACTTTTTGGTGGTCGTTGTGCTTTTAAAAATTCGGAAAGTGAGCCTGATATGGATGATATGGGACTGCGTTGCTTTCAGACAGTGAAGGGGCCGCTAGTCTCTGATAGATGTTTGTGAGACCCCTGGTTGGGTCATTCGGTTCTGGTTTGTTTGATTTTAGTTGTCGAGTTGGGCATGTTGGGGCCTTGACAGTGCATTCCCCTTGCGGCCTTGCGCATAAAGTGCAAAACAGGAAAACCCATGAGCTTGAAACAACCCAACGTGTGATTGCAGGGGCAGCTAGACAGCTAGACAATGAGAAAGGATAAGACAAGGGCTTCCAGTGACTTCAAAGCCCCACATATTCTGAAGATTTTCTTTCCCAAACAGAGCTCTTGTGCACTGCGGCAAGGCGTCATATTGGATGCAGAGGCCTGACATATTTTCATACCCTCAAGATCGAGGTGTCTAGAATCCCCACCCCCCTGGGGTTCCCGTTGAAGGTTCTAAAATCATCACCACTATGATTTTAGAACCTTTAACGGCTATCATTTTAGAACCCTGAAAGTTTGGATATATGAGCCGTGTTGTGGTATGAATTGATTCTAACAGACCACAAGAAAGGTCATTATCTTGGAGTGCAGAAAAAGGAACCAAGTCATGATGAGGTCTCTGCACGAAGGTGCAAAACATGTTTGGAATTAACATCCCTCGTTTTGGTCGATCAAGATTTCCATTTTCAAAACCAGGTGGTTTCAATGTCGCTTGGTTTGAAATGTCTAAAAAAAGGAGGTAAAACGGTGTTGAGCAGCTGCAGCAATGTGCAATGATAAACAAGGTGTTGAATTATATCGGGCAACATTCGCAATTGAAAAAACACGAGCCTCACCATTACCTTAACCTCCCACACAATGCCAATGTTGTTTGGAAAGTACAAATGCCAGGTCAAGTTGTGATGAGCAATCTGCAGTGATGCGCCTCCGTGTTTCCACCCAACACCTCCATTCTTTAGATACCAACACTTTGGTTCAACAAGGCCGGTTGGAAAAAAGGAGCTTGAAGGCAACTATTCTAGACCCACCGGTGCTGACTGATGGCCAGCTGTAACCCAAACTTAGCCATTTTGTCACATGGCTTTGCATTTTACATCCGTCTGCAATACATGTGATAGAGAATGTTCGGAGAACAAAGAAAGGGGAGAGACTGATGGCCCAGGAAGTTTTGAGACTGGTCATGTGCAAGGCAATCTTTCCTTCAATGCGATAGTCTTGCCAGACTGTAATGCGGTAAGATATGTTTTAAAAGGAAGAGGGTGATTTCAAAAGATGACTGGACGACGCAGTCAGTGGGGGGGGGTAAGGGGGTCAAAAGGTTGCAATCGATTTTTGCATCCATCCCGACTTTGCTTTAAAAAAAGGTGCTGCTTATATTTTCCGGAAAAGGTGGACCTGACGGCCTGACGCAGCCTTTAAAAGAATCCTTCAAAAACAGAAAAATCCAAAACATTATGATGACCTGAACCGTGCAATGCGTACGGGAGGACAAAAACTGTGAAATTTTGCTTTAAATCATAACAAGGAGATTCCCAAAAAAATCGTGTCAATTTTCCATGATTACATAGCTGCAGGAAAACGATTCTAGACCCCTACCCCTCCGTACACTTTGGGGTTCTAACATGGTCTCCGTTCACAAATTGGGAAACCTTGGGTTTTTTAAGGGAAAACGATTTTAGACCCCAGATCCGGGGTTCTAAAATGCCGGACAAGGGGGTTTGTTTGATCTTGAGGGTATATATTTTCCTGGTCAAAGTTGTGGCACACTGAACTCATGATGAAACTGTTGTCGGACTTTTGTCGGTGAAGTAGCCGATGTATGCTGGCGAAATCACGATTCTTGGGAGATCGTTTGTCGCCATCTGAGAAAATCGTCGTTGTTGTTTTCTGTGCAGTAGCAGATATAAATATATGTATATAAGTACATATATATATATGTGTGTGTATAATTAAGTAACAGTATACAACAACAAAGATACCAGTAGTACCGCACAAGGCGGTGGCGGAAGTTTCAAAAATAGGAAACCTATAGGAGAGGTTGGTTGTTGTGAATCACGGATGGCAGAGCGAAGCCACTGACGGACCGAAAGGTGCTTGAGGTCTCCTCTCTTTCTCTCTCTTTCTCTGGCTATCTACCTACCTACCCATCTATTTTCTATGTATCTATCTATCTGTTGATCTAGCTATCTATCTCTCTCTTTCTCTCTTTCATCTCATTACCTATCTACCTATCTACCTATCTACCTATCTACCTATCTACCTATCTACCTATGTATCTATCTATCTATCTATCTATCTCTCTCTCTCTCTCTTTCATCTGTCTATCTGTCTAGCTGTCCAGCTGTCTATCTATCTATCTATCTATCTCTCTCTCTCTTTCATCGGTCTATCTGTCTAGCTGTCTACCTGCCTATCTATCTATCTGTCTATCTATCTATCTATCTGTCTGTCTGCAATGTAGTGTAATTGAGTGTCATTGAGTGCAGTGTAGTGTAGTGGAGTGTAGTTGTGGAGTTGCAGGTGTAGTTGTATTTTAGTGGAGGGTAGTGCAGTGTAATGTAGTGAAGTGTAGCGGAAGATGGTGTAATGGAGTGCAGTGGTATTTATCTGTGTAGTTAAGTTAGTCAAGTTACAGTCTGGGTAAATTATAATAATTCACCAACCTGAATTAAGGCCATTTGGGAATGATTTCCCTTACTAACCATGATTCAGGTGAGGTCACAGTGAGGTCGTTATAATTTACCCAGATCAGTGTCTACTTTTTCGACATCTTAACGTCAAAAAAGGCTCAAAACCCTCAGTTTTTTACACTTTTGACTTGGAAATGTGCTTCGCGCCACAACGGCGTGCACTTTTTTCGACATCTCAACTTCCAAAAGTGGTCCGAGCATGTGGTGTTTTGTACATTTTGACTTGGAAATGTGCTTCGCGCCACAACGGCGTGCACTTTTTCGACATCTCAACTTCCAAAAGTGGTCCGAGAATGGTGTGTTTTGTACATTTTGACTTGGAAATGTGCTTCGCGCCACAACGGCGTGCACTTTTTCGACATCTCAACTTCCAAAAGTGGTCCGAGCCTGGTGTGTTTTTTTGTACATTTTGACTTGGAAATGTGCTTCGCGCCACAACGGCGTGCACTTTTTCGACATCTCAACTTCCAAAAGTGGTCCGAAGCTGGTGTGTTTTACATTTTGACTTGGAAATTCTTCGCGCCACAACTGCGTGCAATTTTTCATCACTCATCTGGCCAGGTGGCTCCGCACCCGCCGCTTTAGCGAGCCTACTTTTCGACCCTCCGGAGCCACAAATCATTGGAAAAACACAGTGTTTCGCGACTTTCCTACCTTTTCGCGCATCTGTATCTTCTGTCTTCTTACTCTTTCTCTTCTAATCTTCTTTCTTCTAATCTTTCTCTTCTCTATGCCTCTTCCCTGCTCTGCTTTTCATCTCTCCATATTGTCGGAAGTTTGACTTCTAAACTTCCTTCGATAATTATGTAATATGTTTAATATGGTATAAAAGTTAAGCTTCGCACAAAATACGTTTGATTGCCTAGGAAATTTCCACGTGAAATTGTCGAAGAGGAACCAAGTGCATGTCCATATGGTTTGGTTGCAGGTCATGCGAAGGAGTTTGTCCCAACGTGTGAAGGGGGTAGCCGGGTAGCCGTTGCAGATTGCGCACAGCCTCCATTTCCCTGGCGCTTGAATTAGTCAAGCGGGTGAAGAAATTCATGTCCCAATCGGGAGTTGGAAAATATATAAGACGTTATGTATGTTATGTATTTTTTTTACTTTGTCATTTTGCAGGCAGTTACTTGGCTTTGTTTTGTGCGTGGCATGGGCCAAATTATTGCCAGGCATGGATGGTTTGCCGACGTGGCCAGATTGTGGGCCATGTGCCTCAGTTTTCAATGGCCAAAACATGATGCAGGTTTTATCCACACCGCCTTGGTTCATATGATACATATGAGTCACAGAATTCGTAAAAACGGAGGAATCAGACCGTTGAAAGAAAGGGAATACTCATGAATATTCAAGCAACTGTCAGGGATCACTCAGAATCTTAGAGCTAGGTATAGTGACGTCAAGTCGAAAGCAAACTGAAACCTGGACTCTAGACGGAATGAAACCTGACAAGCCGATGTTTAGGTTGAGCGCCTGTAGCCTCACCCAACCATGGGCAATGTCGGTGTCAAATAATTTGGGTCATCATCTAGGGTCGATCAGATGGAACCAGATTCGGGTAGTGTGAGGGGGCATGTTTAAGCCTGCGGACCGCAAACCGTGCTCGTAAAACACACGTTTTTGGAAAACGCACTTTCGAAGGTCATGATGGGGTGGGGTCGGGGGGGCATGTTAACGTTCCTTGTACTTCGTACGTTATATGTTGCTACGCTGCAGAGATCTCTGGTGTTGTTTTTACGTTATATGTTGCTACGCTGCTCATGATGGGGGGGGGGGGGGGGTGGGGAATGTTAACGTTCCTTTTACTTCGTACGTTATCTGTTGCTACGCTGCAGAGATCTTTGGTGTTGTTGCTACTTTATATGTTGCTACGCTGCTCATGATGGAGTGGGGTGGGGGGAGGGGCATGTTAACGTTCCTTGTACTTCGTACCTTATATGTTGCTACGCTGCAGAGATCTCTGGTGTTGTTTTTACGTTATAGTTATATGTTGCTAAGCTGCTCATGATGGGGTGGGGTTGGGGGGCATGTTAACGTTCCTTGTACTTCGTACGTTATTTGTTGCTATGCTGCAGAGATCTCTGGTGTTGTTTCTACGTTATATCTTGCTCCGCTGCTCATGAATGTTGCTATGCTGCAGAGATCTCTGGTGTTGTTTTTACGTTATATGTTGCTACGCTGCTTATGATGGGGTGGGGTTGGGGGGCATGTGTTAACGTTCCTTGTACTTCGTACGTTATATGTTGCTACGCTGCAGAGATCTTTGGTGTTGTTGCTACTTTTTTATGTTGCTACGCTGCTCATGGGTGGGGTGGGGGGGGCATGTTAACGTTCCTTGTACTTCGTACTTCGCGGCAGAGATCTCTGGTGTTGTTTTTGCGTTATATGTTGCTACGCTGCTCATGATGGGGTGAGGTGGGGCGGGTGAAGAGGGGCACTAGCGTCTAGGTTAGATCAGCTAGAGCGTCTTCCCAAGACAGCTTCACACCTTTTATACTCGGCCAATAGCCAGTCGGCGCGGTGTCCACAGGATTACTTTATATCTCTCTTGAGCCTTGACCGCGTATGTAAGTGTGCTCAATACTCATGCTTTATCCACATATAGGATTCAAGCCCAAACAAAAACAGGTGGGCATGTTAGCGTTCCTTGTACTTCGTACGTTATATGTTGCTACGCTGCAGAGATCTTTGGTGTTGTTGCTACGCTATATGTTGCTACGCTGCAGAGATCTTTGGAACAATTGATGCTGCATGGAGTGCTGTCAAAGACTTCATCCCCAATTCATTGTGTTCAAAAAGCAAAGATCTTCTCCTGTATGTCAAATGCTGGCAATGGCGATATGTGAATCTACATACTCGCCTCCAGCAAAAGACCATTTCGACGCTGAAACGCCTGCTGTGAAAGGAGAAGAAAAGTGTCCGATCAAAAGTGTCACGAAACCCGAATCTAGCCAAATTCTCGCGCGAGAATTTGGCCAAATTTAACTCGTACAAATGTGCGTTTCGCTGTAGCGAAAACAACATTTTTTTTTAAACAACGTCCGTTTTACGAGCACGGTTCCCGGTCCGCCGGGATGTTTAAGCAACAGTTACTGTCACATGCTCTAAGTTGCAGCGTCAGGGAAGCAATGCCAAAGTCCGCCTGGAAAACCCTAAGGGCTACGTCTGCGAGAGTGAAAAGGTTGCTCAGTCGATGTCGGGAGTTCCCAGTTTAGTCTTGCGCCCATGGGTGAGCTGACCTCAGATAGGTCAGCCTCAACCTTGAGAAGTTGCCGCACGTTGCCCACCATGCTTCTGACGTCAGCAAGTTGCATGTCAGTTTTATCGGCTCTACAGCAAAGCGCTACGTGCTACGCCAGCTGAAACAGCATGATGCCTGAAGAGATCAAGGATTGTTCCGGCGTCGCATTTTTCGGTTGGTCGTGTTGGTCGTGTTCAAGCGAGTCCATGGTTTATATATGTTTCTATCATAACTTCTTGGGAACCATTTTTGTCACGAAATTTCGAAGTTGTCAGTTTGACCTGTTTGGGTGTTGAGAAGCCCCTTCGAAGGAAGCTGTGACGTAATCTGACCCGCGATTTTCTGCCCTATGAAGTCTCTGTAAATTGTCATTGGATTGCCAGGGTATTCGTTTCTGTCCAAAACCTGTTTTTCCTGATCTGAAGATTGAATAAGATCCGGCAGTGCTTTCCTGATTTACGTCTTTTCCTGATTCAGATTTATTTTACAGGTGGATGAGCAAGTGGCTGCTTGTTATTGTCTAATTTTGTAATCGGCCTTTCTAGAAATTTGCATTGTGGCACAGGACAAATCCAAAAACTGCTGCTTGCTCATTTTCTTCCACACCGTTTGCTCCTATTTGGCACAGTTTATGACTTGGATTCGCGGCAGCAAGGTGGCCAGTAGCGAGCCTGTCAGTCTTTTGATGTGTCATGTGAAATCCAAAGGGCCACACCTTCCGCGCACCTAGGGCCCCTAGGGCACCTCAAAATCTTCTCATGCAAGTCTCGGGAGACGTTATCAATGTAACAATGTGCATGGAAGCGCAGTGTAGCTTTTGAAGGTGGTTTTTGTTTGTTCAAGCTGTCCAGATTTTTGGGCAACCGTGTTGTCGTGTCAAATTGTATTTGCCATTCAAGATCTGTGCTGTCCAGGCGGAGCAAGGTGACCACACGTCACCTCCGCATGGTGATGGCGCCGAGATGGAAACGATCATGGGCGGCGAGCTCGTGAGCGAGTTGGGGCCGGATCAGCTCAGGCCCCTTTAAAGCCTGTGTAGGCCTTGGATGAGAGCATGTCAGTCCCTGGTTGCTGCCGGACCAACCCAGCCCAATACTCACCCGACCTGTTGGATGGACGGTTGATGCCTATTGTGCAATAAAACTTTCGTGTGATGGGCGCATCAAAAAAAACAACTTTCAACTGCAATTTTTTCAGACATACTTGGCACCCAGGGCCTGACATAGCCTGAAAGCAGCCACGCCTGCTCGTGTTCGCTAGTTGAAGGAAAAAATCAAGGCTGTCAGTCACGTGGCTGGTGAAAGTTAAGATGTAGCGCAGCGCGCCACCTGTTCAGCAATACCTCTTTCAGCTGCTCCCACCTAGTGGCTCAAGAGTTAGGACCTTTGTGACTTGTCCAGATCTCACAATGACTGAGATGCAATATGTGCATTTTGCCCTTGATTGGTTTTATCTTTTCGAGTTTGAGAGCGAACATGTGCCTCCAGAACGAAGCGCCCCAGCCTTAGCCATTTCGGCTGAGTTCAGGCAGTCTAAACATGTCCAACTCAGAAGAACTTTCTCACCGTGCTCCGTGCTCAGGCAGAGGTGTTTTTCGGCAGGGATGTTCCCAACCAGGCTGCCATGGTGCATCGCAAGGCCGCAGCGGCCGCAGTTACAAAACTGCACGTTCGCACTGAAAAACCGAACTTGGCATCCCCTGTCACACAGGCAGCTGAGCAAGTTGCTGCGGTTCGTCAATTTTGGAAGGCCTTTCAAAACCGAGTGCCGCAGCTTGTGAAAGAATGACATGTTCATAAATTTCTTGACCATGGGTCGCCCCCCTTTGCGTTCGCTATAGGACCTTCAGGATGCTTGTGCGTGGTGTTGGAGCCCTATGGTAACAGCAGATGACGTTTTCGTTGGAGAGGCCCGATTTCAAGCGTGCGTCGTAACATAGCGTGGCTTCCACAAAGCAGCGGATTTATGTGTCTTTCCCAGCCCAAAAAATTGGAATTTGCAACGTTGCCGACTTTTACGCGGCTTTATGCGTGTCCGCCTCCTAGTTTGATTCCGTCATCCATTTTGGAATTCCCATCATGTTGGTGTTCTGGCTTGGAAGGCATGAATTGTGTTGGCATGCAACGCACCTGGGCTGGTCACCTGAAGTTGGCAAACCGGGCTGTGTTGATTTCCACGGGACTGTGATTGAAGAGACAGTGCACGGCCAGGGCTCGCCGAGATGAGGCCGCTTGGATTGTTGCGAGTTGAAATGGTTGTTGGATTTGTATCATGAAAGACATGGAGACAATCCGTTGGGGAGGAAACACATAGACAACGGATTCCAATGATTTCCAATGTACACTACATTGATCGGCATTCCGCATTCTTTTGCTGGTTTGAGGCTGGCTGGACCCCATGCCAACACAGGTTCCATGGAAATTGCATTGCTGTAATTCAAAGAACGCCTGAAATGGGCCTGGATGTAGTTCAGGATGTTGAAATGACACGTTTTTTTTGCGTCGATTTCCCGGATTTCCCCCACAAACATGAACATCAAGCAATCTTCCAGTTCCAGGCTGTTGCCATTAGAATTCGAAAATGATTTTTCACGATTTCGATTTTGCTCCACAATCCCAGCCAGGCTCTTTTTTGGCCGGGCATGTTCTGTTGAGAATTTGGGAGGCCTGGTCCTGTGGAGTTTGATGGTCAAAGGCGGCGCAACGAGCCGCATAATGCCGCATACAAAGGGCAAACAGCAGTCTTTAGCAACGCGACAGCAGAAAGAACCCGTTAAATGAAAACTGAGGCATGCTAAGAATGAAGAAAGCGGAAGGATAAGAGAAAGACAAAGGAGAAATTGAAGTGCCTGCCGTGTCAATGGCAGGCTGTGCACATTGAACAAACATCACTGCCAATGTGTCGATGTCGCCCCAAACACATGTTGCATTTCAAAACAGTACCAAATAGCTACATATGACTCAATATGACCAGTTGTGTATTTGATGTGTTCTCAACTTCCGCTATTTGATGAAGATAATTGGGAAATTCGGAATAATTCGGATCATTACAGGCATAGCCACGAAATAGAGAATCCCAGAGAAGGGGGTCATGTCTTCACAAAGTCGGATATCAAGTGATTTTGTCAGTGTCATGTGTAAAGCCTTCCTCAAGTCTTTGACGTGCTACAACTCAATCCAAAAGACCCCGCAGACTTTCAGAACTGATTTCTTCAGCGGCTGTGTGTTTTCTATTTTTGGGGTATGGTCTTGCTCAGCTTCGCAGGTGTTCCCGCAGTAGTGAAGATGCCGGGGCCCCAAAAGTAACACAAGTTACTAGGACAATGTCAGCGCTGTGTCAAGCAGATCCAATGTTTGGCTAATTTGGTGATGTTGCCGGTGTGGTTGGCCGCAGCCACCTCCATGTCAGCTTTCTGCTCTGAACAGTTTCGGACTTCGGTGTCGACAGGTCATTTGAGAACCAGTGGAAGAAGGTCCTTGCCTGTGCGTTTGCTTGCGCAGCCATTCGAGTAGATTTTGGGATCCAATTGATTCAGTACCGGCTTGTATTGCAACGGTATCTTTGCGTCCTAACTCTTGCAATGCACAAATGCCATCAAATGCCACGATGATTGGGGTGTTTTTTGGTTGGAAATAGTTTGCAGTAATCCCGCCCTTTATGGCTAGGGGGACGCGGCTAGTGTGACCAAACATCTGGCTTTAACTGGCTTTGCTTGTCATGAACCACACTGGACCACGGTTTTCGTATCTGTTGAATTCTTTGCGTTTCACGATAGCGCAAGGCTGTTTTCAGAGTCCAGAGTTACTGGTTTTTTGATCCCCTGACTCTCAGGTCGTTTGTCACAGCGCGCTACAGCCCCCATGCTACACATAGCCATGTCTCTTAAGAAGCCTTTGGGGTTTTGCATAGGATGGTCAATTTAGATGCTTGCCAGGTTGGGCATTGTGGAAATCATGTGGGTTGCGGCCTTGTCACTTCGCTGCGTTTAAGAAAGTGAGCATGATGTGAGACTTCGCTTTCAGATAGGGACGCAGTGATACGCAGTGGCTGTTTGTTGTCTTTGACTGATGTCAAGTTAGCCTTGAAACTTGACTGTCTTACTCTGCTGAAGGCACTAAGTAACGGTCCGATTTTTTCTAATGTATGCTGCCTACTAGTAAACCCCCCCTAAATAACATATTGTTTAAAAAAAACAGGGGGGGTCAGCATCCCAATAGTAAATTAAATTAGGCTAATTAACTTTTAATATTGGATACTATACCATGCCCTCTGGACAAGGTCAGAACATGACTCTTTTGGCAATACTAAAAGTAAATGGAGCTAATTGACTTTTAGTATTGGAGAAAAATTGGATTTTGGGAAAAAAGTTTCCACTATTGCCATGTTGGGTCCACTATTGGCCATGCCCTCTGGACAAGGTCTGAACATGACTCTTTTCGCAATACTAAAAGTAAATGGAGCTAATTGACTTTTAGTATTGGAGAAAAATTGGAGTTGCGGAAAAATGTTTCTACTATTGACAAGATATCACTATTGGCTAGACAACATTAGGTCAACTCCAAAGTGTACAGTAAACGGATGAACCCAGTGGAACTAAAGTTGTCACAGGAGAGACAGGGGCACCTGTAAATCCAATGAGATTTGTGAGATGGTGAGATGGCTCAAAAAAAATCAGGACAGATCCCTTGCCTCCTGAGGTTCTCCTGCACTTGGAGGCTGCTTTCAATGATGTGGCGCAATGCAGAGGCCTCAAGCATGATTCCGGGTGCTGTTGTGGCCCTCGAACTTTTGATGAAATTCTTGTCCGACTTCTGTGAAGTAGGTGCCTATTGAGCACATGGGGAGATTCTCAGGAGATTGTTTGTCGCAGTGTCGCAGTCTGCGAAAATCGTCGTTGTTGGTTGCCCTACTGACAGCCCAAAGCCTGCAAGAACTCGACCAATTTGCGCCGCTGCAAACATGGGTAGCGGTGGCAGCAGGGAGGAGGTTCACCACTACCACGAGGACAAGGAATCCAAGGAAATGGCTCGAAAAGCCAATGAGGAGATGGCTGCAATGCGCAGCCAGATGGCAGAGCAGGAGAGGAGAAATCAGGAGAATCTGGAACGACATCAAGAAGCTTTGCGCAGAGCTGAACAGCTTCATGCTGAAGAAAGAGATGCTTTTATGAAACGACAAGATTGTGAGGCTGAACAACGCTTGGTTGAGGAACTTCAGAGAGAGCGTTACAATGTACAAAAGGCCAAGGTTGAGAAGTGGCAAAGGTTGAAGCGAGACTATCCAATCCCCTCCTTCCTTCAGAACTACGTCAACGAAGTGAGTGAGGATGCAGAGGCTGATGCTGCTCGAGACCGCTTCGTGAACGTGGCCATGCTTGGAGATTCGGGAACCGGAAAGAGCTCATTGATCAAAGTTTTCCTGAAACACTTTGGAGTCGACTTGCCCCCGGACCAGATGCCTAAAGTCTCCATGGAAGGTGATGGCACGCTTCTGCCCACACGATTTCCATTGGAGAAACTGGGTCAAGTCTCTCTGTGGGATCTCCCCGGCCAAGGAACTTCGAAGATTCCTTCCATGACATATCTCTGCAACATGGGCCTGAAATACCTCGATGCCGTCTGCATCGTCACGGATGGTCGTTGGTCTGAAGGGGATGATAACCTTCTGGCAGCCATCCACTATGCAGGCATTCGATGCTTCGTTGTCCGAAGCAAAGTGGATCTTGCCGTTGACGCTGGAGTGGAGGACAAGGGATGGGGCCTGGCCTAGCTGAGACGCTGTCGCATGTGCATCAGCAGTTGCAACGGCAGACTCGGCTGAAACCACATCGCATCCATCTCTTGACATCCAGGGATCGCTTTTGGAAGGACTTCGGCTCTGTGGACAACTTCTGCAAACATCTCCAAGAGGAAGTGGAAGCGTCTCTGAAGGAAGAGGTGGCGGAGCAAATGTTTGAAGAGGCGCCGCAGGAAGATGTGAACATGGATGCAATGGATGCAACGGATGCAACGGATGCAATGGATGACTGCATCATGACATGTGATGATCAGGTCGATAAGGTCGAGTACCTTCGCCTTGACATTGACAATCAGTGCTTCAAACCAGTCGGCTTTGTGAAGCGGGCTGGGGCTTGAGGGTTTGAGGGTTTGAGGCCTTGATTGGGCTTGAGTTGAACCGCCACATGTGCAGCTGGTGGCTGGGTTCATGTTCAGGCTGCACTGCAAGTTGCAGCGATTTGGTATGATTTAGTTCCGTTGCGAAGCTTCACCTCTGCCAGAGCTGTTTTTTTTGTAAGGAGGTCATCATGTCAAATCATGTGATCATGACATGTCATCACGAATCATCCGCTGCTATTGTCACGATGTTTTTTTGGCAGAAATGTTTCCTGTGAAGCAGGCCGCCCCTCTATGCAGTTCGCACCACTTTAGAGTAGCTGGAGGGGCGGTGAGTGTAACACGAAGTCCGTTTGCGGCAAAAAGACAGCTCGTTGTCGTCCGAATGCGAATGCAGAATAGGTCCTTGGTGGTTGGATAGTTGGTGAGATTGGATAGAAAACGGAAACAACGAGGATCAAAGAGGATCAAATTCCGCACGGCCAGACAACCTTGCGAACCACCTTTCTGATGCCGGATTGAAGCTGAAGAGCTTTCACACTTTCAACCAGATCAAGTCAGTCTTTGAAGGGTTGAAGGGAGTTGTTGACAGCCTTGTCAGCCTTGTTTTGCAGGTGGCTCTTTGGGAGCACAGCAGTTGGGAGCTTTGCACGCTTTTCAGTGACCATGTTGAGGATTTGCTGTCGGTGTCAATATCCGCGCCAGCGAAGGTCCCATTCAATGAGCATTCTCGAACGACTTGAAGAAGGTCCGTGCCTTTATGCTTTCATGATCTTTGTCATGTCCGTAGCGTTTTAGAATTGGTGGAGGGTCAGAATCATTCACTGGTCAAAACAGTCAAAACTCATATTATTTTGCAACCCTTTGATTGGATCCCAACTTTTGATGTTCAAGGGCATGTGACGCTTGGGCTGCTTCTATCAGCAAACACGTTGCAGGTTTCCTTTGTCGATTCTGCCGGGGTCATTCAACCACGCGCCAGCCTGGGCATTTGAGGACCCTTAGTCAGGTGGTTCGGTTCTGCTTTGTTTGATTTTATTTGTCGTGTTGGGGCCTCTACAGTGCATTCCCCTTGCAGATAAAGTGCGAAACAGGAAGTGCAAACGGGCTCA